TATTTTTGTGTAAATTTAGAGATGCAAAATAAATTCTTTCATATATATTTATTTTCACACTCTAGTTTCACAATTAATTATTCGAAGAAAGAGAATAATAAATAAATATAAATGCAAAAGAAACGATACTATATTTCAATGAAATCTGAAGCTCAGAAGTCCAAAATATTTTCGATCAGTGGCGTATCATTTATAACATTGATGTTATTTTGAAGATTGAGGTCATTTTGATTATCTTCTCTTCCACTATTAACTCCATCAATTACCTGATATTAATGATTTATTTTAAAAATAATGTTCTGCTGTTCTCTAAAATATTTCGAAGATTGTTTTCGTTTGTGTCGCTTCATATGCACTACTGACGGATGATATAAAAAAGAAAGTTGGAAATGTTCGTTGTAGAAGTTCACTTTGAACCGATGGACAATTGAAATCACATGCTACATCGGTTGTTGAAAGAATATTATTCAATTGTAATCATTGATACAAATCGACGAAACGACTATCTTTATCATTTTCCTCACTAAAAGCTATTTCTACAAAGCAGAATTAGAATTACAAAAAGGCCATATATTCAAAAAAAATGAGGTTTATACAATTTGCAGAAACTTTGAAGAGAAACGGAGGAGGTAAACATCGTTCAGACATAATTTTCAAATCACTGGTTCATCCTTTTGAACAACGCTTGAAATCATTGCATTTAATAATTTGTAATAAATATTGATTGACGAATACGAACTTGTAACAAATTAAGATCAAGTTATTTGAATTCAATGAAAATGATAGTTTTTTCTTATCAATAGGTTCAATATATTGACAAAAACTAGGATAAGAACCAACTGTAAGTTCGCTCTAAACTTCAACCAAACATTAACCAGTACCAGTTTACTTTAAACATAGGAGAGATATGATTTACATAGAGCACTGAGTGAGGTTGAGGGCAATATATGAAGTAAACTATATAGTACCCATTCATCAAGAATTCATAAAAGAATACATTTAGTGAAAAGATCTCTGAGATGTACAATGAACGATAATTTTTAATTACTTTTCTTCCTTTGTAACATTTGTACCTATGCATAAAATTCAGCTTATCACGTCATCAATTGATGAATAAACAAAACAAATATAATGTTTATTGGTTCGGTCTCTTCACTCAATAACATTCTACTGGAAGTCATTATGCTGCAAGGAAGAAATTGTCTAAGATTACGTCATCTTCGGATAACCTCTATTCCTCCTTCCTCGCCTGTCCGAATAATCAAATGTCACTATTTGCTGACACCTCCCCCCAAATTTGATTACGGAAGACTTGAATGGTGGTACTTTTCGATGCTTTCTAAGACAGAATTAAATATTTTACCAAATTATGCACAAAAAGCCCAGCTGAATTATACATCGAGTATTCAAAAATTTCTTGTAGTAGAATTTTAAAATTTCATTCCAGTTGTTTTGTTTATAATATTGACTTGCGAGGAAACATTCTCAAGTACCAGAGCGATTTTGATCCGTCACTTTGTGCATCTTATATACCTTAATGAATTATGTTTACCAAAAAAAGTGTTCGTGTCGATTTTTTTTTCTGAGGAAATCGGCCGTTTTTAATTATTACAGCCATAAGAATTATCTTATCAACAACAAATCACTATCTCAGGTAATAAAAATTGAAACGAACTGAGATTTTTTTCTCATGTATGGCTGTACTCATGTGAGAGGTAATGTGACAATATGAGTAGAGAAAAGCTTAGCAAAGGAGCTCTATCGGTTTTAGAAAATGTTAACGTTGTCTAAATGTCAATTATTATGCTACTTCTTAGAATTACGAGGCATATGTTTGAAAATTTTAGAACATTGAGTACTCAGGTCACAATGAATTTTTGAATGCTTGATAATTATGGTTTTTATAATAATATATTTATTTTTCTTTAGCTCTAATATCTGTCGCAGTGCTTACATTGTGAGTTAAACATAAACTAATCTTTTTTGTGTACGAATAATGAAAAATTTTGAATGAAAATAAATGAATCAGATGAATGTTGATGAATAAAACGAATTCATACCATGTATTTAAGGAACAGAAAAATAATATACCGTAGTCTGATTTCTCCGGTAATATTTATTTTGCTTGTTTCTAGTGAAAATGATTAATGCATTGGTAATGTCTTCTTTTCTCTTAGAGCAGTTTTCTTAATCGGTTGCATCTGCAAATTCTAATCTTTCAACGAAAAAATACACGAAAAACAAAGTGCTAACTGTCTGGCTAAAGTATTAATTCAATTATCAAATGTTATTGATTTTTCTGTAGAAAGTGAAACTTCACTTAATCAAAATTTTCAGATAGTATAGCGGAACATGATGTAGATGAATATCTTCCATCTGGCGGTTCTGAATTAGATCCGAACTTGAACAATACAAACGACGATGAAATTAGTGTTCGTCTCCAGATAGTTAGAACAACGTTAACATTTTCTATAACCGATAGCTTTGCTTTCCTAAACTCTTCTCTGCTCGTATTGTCATATTATCTTTCCCATGAGTACAACAATACGTGAGGAAAACTTCAGTTAGTTTCATTTCAATATAAATCACCTCAGATAATGATTTGTTGTTGATAAGATTATTCTTATGGCTATAACAATGAAAACGTTCAATATCCTCAGACAAAAACTATGGACACAAACTCTTTTTATGGTAGATATAATTCATTAAGGTCTATAAGAGGCACAAAGTTCCAACTCAAAATTGCTTCGACACTTGGATACCAAGTTGTTTAATTGCCTATTGCGGCAAATCTTTATAATGAATTTTTTTGTCATGTTTATTTTCAAATGGAAAAATTGTATACGATCATATATAAAAGTTCGTTTGTTATTAGGTCTTGGTGCAAAACAAATTCATGATTAATTAACTACTGCTTATTGACAAGGTTATACCATAAAATAAAATGTGTCTCATTTATGTGTTACTACGTAGTTATAGTTTCGCACACTCTATCCGGAAAATATGCCCCGATCAGAACATGTTGTGATCTTATCTCCAAACTATTCAGTCACCACTTTGTTCTGCGCATGCAGCTACATATAACCAACTCAATTGAACATAATGCGCTCATATATTTTCGTGTCTTTTTTTCTACACTATTTCTCGTTCATTTATTAGCTGAGAACTTGCCGAGAGATCGATCGACGTTAAAGAAAGGACTGCTTTTAAGAAGGTTTGATCGAGATAAAACGAACTCGAGATTGCTGGAGCTAGATTTCAAGATTTGACAATCTCCAGCTTTAAGTATAGGTATCACTAGTTCGAATTAAATTGAACAAATAGTAATAATTAGTTATTTGTTTATGCAGAAAAAAATGACAAATTCGCTCAAGATTGGGTTCGAACCACTCTTTCAAAATGTGTCGTAACGAGCACCTTGTATAGAGCCCGTCGGGTTCATCTCGGGGTCTGCACCCGAGAGACTCTACCCTACATATTTCTTAGATAATTCGTCTGAGAAATGTGTCGGCCTCCCTAGTCATTGAGAGCAGCATGAACACCACCAATATACTTTCAGACGCGCTTTATGAGAAAAACCAACGCTTCAAACGGTTTACTCTTTTTTTTATCGAGTTTTTAAATCATTTTCCCATTAAATTAATATTTTTTCTCTTGAACAGACCGATTACTACTGAGAAAAGTAGATTGTAACATGTCGCGGAATATTTTATCAGATGGCGTCACACCTCTTCGTATTAGTTAAGTTTTCTAATTAATGACTACTTTTGTTGCACCCTTTCCAACAAGTAATCAAACTCGAAAACTAAGCGACAACAGCCGTTGTGACTAGTAGAGATGGTTTGAGCGGGCTCACAATGATATTTGGATGCGGTTTCGACTGAAATCTAACATTTTTCTAAGAGTTTAAAAATATTTGTGCACAGATAAACGACCAAAAATTAAGCACAAGCGCGGTTAACCGAATGAATAACCTCTCAGTTGCTCGAAATGTTAACCGCGATTTTCGAGGAGCTTAATTTATCATCGCAAAAATTAAATCGAAGGAGCAATCTAAAACGTGCGTAGCAAACGACCAAGGTTCTTCAGCAGTTGTAAGAAGACAATCATTGAAGGAAAACACAATACTTATAATTTCTTTTCATGACAAATGAACCATGAATTTTTCATGAATTATCTTCTGAAACATTAATCAATGACATGTATTATCGTGATCAATATTTAAAAAGACTAATTAAAATTTATGCAAAAAAGACCATCATCAACAACAAATGGTATTAAATTGTATCATGATATTGCAAGACCACATATTGATGATATTGCTTTTAATAATCGTCAAGAAGATAAAATCTAACTTATGGCTCATCCTTCATACTCTTCTAATCTTCCTTCTTGAGGATTCTTGTTATTGAGCTGCTTGACAAGTAAACTTGATTCAAATACAGATGCTACAGTTTGACGGAAGCAATCACTAAGAAGCTCAATTCAATACCTGTTCACGAATACCAAAAAGATATTTCAGCAGTAGATTTAAAGGATGAAACTTTATATTGAATATCATGGAAACTACTTCGAACATTTATTGTAAATTGATTAGTAAAATGTTTTTTCTATAAATAAATATATGAAGGTGCACGAACTTTTTGACCACCCTACATACATTTCTATAAGCTTCAAGATTATGAAAAAAAGCATTTTACTAGTCGTGGTTTCCGAGTAAAAGTTTGCTTGATGTGCAGAGCAATCTGTAGTCGTAAAAAAAGAACTTTCCAAGCAATATGAAGTTCTGTTGTCAATTCAGTGATCAGTATATTTGAGTTATTGTCTCAGCAATTAATTTTCAGTAAAGCTATCTAATCAATAAATACACTAGACAAATATCTGTTCTTGGATTCTGTGAAACAAGCATACAAACACACTATTTTCTTGATTTTGAAATCAGTAATAGTCAATCGTTGAAAAATATAAATATAGTTGCTTACTATTGTCGTAATGTTTTTTTATTCAATTGATTCCAGTGTGAGTTTTAAATTTCCATTACACGTTTCGATAAAATTGATAGCTTCAATCAATAAATCTAGTTTGTTAACCGTATTATTTGCTGCTACAAAACTTGGTTCTCTTTTGATTTCAGGTTTATGCCGCTGTTGATAATACAAAGATATAGATTCTAATTTTTGAGCTGTATTAAAAGTAACTTTCAAGTTAAGTGCAATAATATCTGGTGGCATTGTCTCCAACGGTATTGGTTTTGGGGCTTTAATATCTATAGTTTGTTCAACAAGCTTTTCAATTGGAATAGCAGAAATACTTTTCTTCAATACTTGTTGTTGTTTCTTTCGTTTTCGTATCATAAATTTCAGAATAGCCAATTTGTTTCTTTGTTTTATGCGTCTTATCAGAGTTTTTGTTTGATGATTATCAATCTTCGATTGTTTTTCTAGATGTCTTTTTAGAATGGGTGTTTCCATTATTGAATGTATCGGTAGCAGGTTTTTGTCTTCCATTAGTCTGTTTGCTGTAGAATTTTGACTAACTTGAGGCGTTTGTAGGTCTCCTTCTTTTTTACTCGCTTTTTCTATATTAGTTGAAAATGACACAGATGGAAATGAAGTATTTGATTCTGGTAAAAGAGGAGAATTTATCCTAGATGATGCATTTATGAACAACGGATTTGGCGTAAGCATACAATGATGCTGTTCAGGAACTGTCAGGTCATAAGGTAAATTGTATACTAAATTGCTTGTGAAACAATTATTAGTGGTTTTTTTCTCAAGACCAAATTTCTGATGCGGCAAACGTTGTTCCAATGTTGGATATCGTTCAAAAACGTTAGTCGTAGAGTACAGTGATAAAGGCTGCGGAACATTCAAGGACTTCGATTCATTATAAATCATAGTTGACGGAGAATTCGATAAAATTCTTGAATTAGCCGGTGATAATGATGTAAAATTTGATGATCTTACTAGATCTACTGGAAATTTATATTTATCAGGCTTTTTAAAACTATCAATCTTAGACGGTAATGGTAAAGACAAACGATAGTTCGAAAATATTGACTTAGCAGAAGTATTTAGGCATTGAGATAATTTTTGTTCTACAGCAGATCGATGCGGTCTCTTTGTATACTCTAAATTATATAATAAACGACTTAGTAAATTGAAATTCCGACAATGCGGATTTTCAATAGTATTTCGAAAAATTTTGAAATTCTGTCAGAAATTCGACAATGTTGTTGAAACTTCATAGAAACAATTACTTTCTATTGAATTTATGAGTCGCATATTTTTTTACTTCGCTTTGTTTTGACCGGTGGATTACCAGCTGTTGTTATGGATGATGATGATGTTGCTGAAGGTAAAGCATAAGACTGTGTGAACATATTTTGTTGAGGCGCAACGGAGCATGGTTGCAACAGATTATTGTATTTGATTTCCTGAGTTGAGAAATCAGATAAAGACCTTTCACAAGATATATTCTTCAACGATGGATTCAACTCTGACAATTGCATTTTTGCTGTTGTTTCCGTCATTAAAACAGAATTGAAGTCTTGTACACATGCATTAGATTCCAGAGAGGAAAATGAAGAGTGTAAGGAAATGGAACATGGTAGAGTTCGGTGGCAATTGCAGTTGCTGTTGTCTAGATATTGACCAGGTTGTAAATGATATTTAAACGGCATCATTTGATTATTTATATCCCCTTTAGTATTGAAAGGAACCATATATTGGTGTGATAGCATTGAAGGAATGTGATGATCAACATTTCTAGGATGGTGCTGTTTCGATGAAATATGTTTATTTAAATTCGACGATAAGAAATACATTTGTGATTGATTTCCATCTGTAAGTGCTATGTTTTGCAATAATGATCTCTCTCTTGAAACGGGAAGTATTATCTCACTTGGCAGCATTTTTAGTACTGTAATAAAGAATAAATCAAAACAAAATTTATAAATGATTTACAAAGTTCACTACGAACAAAACTTTGTTCTTTGTATTCTAATATTCAAGTTTTATCAAAGCTGTCCAAACTAAAGGGAATAGATATCATATCTAATTGAAAATGAAAGACAAAGGAGTAATCTATACAGCAATGGTGTATTCTTTTTAGGCCTATATCTTCATACTTCAAACAGCAGAAGAAGCAAAGTGTGTTTTTTCTCATTTTAAAAATAGGATATTCACAATTAAAGCTTAGTACGTTGTTGCATGCTTGTATAAAATACATTTTAATTGTATTAACATACATGATGAATATTGATTTTTGACAGAGAAAAAATTAAGTAGAAGGGAAGAGTAAATGTAATTTCAATACGTAATACGATTGGTTATAACAATTAAATGTTGAAATTGTGTGCAAGAATGATAATGACGAGAGTAACAATCTCAATTAGATTTTTAAAAAAGCCGAAACATATCCAGAAGAATAGAAATGTTGACATTGTGAAAATCGAAGAAGAAGAATCACATTTTTATTTTATTATGTTTTTACTATATTAGAGAGCAAAATAGCCGAAAATAGTGTTACTTAATAAAATTCGACTTACGAAGGAACTTCATCAGCTGATACACACCGTTTGACCTCATATTTTGCTCATAGATAGGGCTTAAAGTGTAGATAAAAACCTAAAAGGATTCTTCCAGTTAAGCGATTGCTCTCGAGTTGTGGTCATTTTACTGGCTTTCTATTCTATTACAAGGTATTACAAACAAAATCAAATCAAGGAATTTCAATTCGAAATTTCACCAAAAAATAGACCTCATGACCATTATAATATCTTGCAAATTTCAGCCGAAATAAGCGATTTTCCCTTCAGATGTTGAATGTTATATAAACCGGAGTTTCTCGACTCTTTTGCCAGGAAAGATCCTTTTATGTACATTTGTTATCTCGGTTATAGAGCATTCATTTTGACTGCATCTTTCAGAATAGTACCAGAGTCATGAGGTCTATTGTTGAGAAAAGTTTCAGATTGGGATTCTTCGATTAGGTTCTGCTGGTAATATTCTACAATATGCTGACAATTCAGTAAAATGATCATAATTCGAGAAGAAAACCTTAATGAAAAGAACATTTTTAGAGTTTTTAGCTCCACTATTAGCTGTACCAATGAGCAAAATATGAGGTCAAATGGTGTGTATCAGTTGCTGAGGTTCCTTCATTAGCAGGGGCATCAGAATGTTTGATGAATGAGGGTCAGGAAATTTTAGGAGGGCTTAATCATCCTGTACCCCCTTTCCTACTTTGTGGTGCCGACACTAAGCTAAACACAACCAAGACATGGTTCAAAGATGTATAATCAATATGATAGACAAAGAAGTATTCGTTGTGATTAGATGTACAATGAAAAAGTTCGGAAGCTAGATGGAACTTAATTTCGCCTTATTAACATTTTTCTCGAGATTGTGTCTTGTATTTATTCTTGTTATTAGTCTACATTTAAGTGTTCATGATTTATTAAAATTAAAAATATTTAGTGAAAATATCGTTAATTATAAGATTTTTGGTAAATACTCGGGTAGGATTTCTCTATCATGAACATTATGGGCACCATTAAAAAAGTATTCGCTATACGGATATGTTCGGTTTAGAGAGTTGATGCATAATTTGTTGCGAAATGAATAAAGACTGAGTAGTTTATTTTCTTGCTTATCTATTTTCGTCTCGTTGGTTTGAATTGAAAGGTTTTTCAATTACAACAAAAAATTCTTTTCTTTTCAAAATTCCTTTCATGTTTTTTTTTGTCTTTTTGTTTTTGAATTAATATCGACATCAATTTGCTTGGATTTCAATTCAATAAACAATTTAATGATTTACTTGCCAACTAAACAGTAGTTGTTATATCATTATTTCCTTCATATGTACAATAGTGAAGTCATAGATAAAACGTACTTAACTATAGTATGCATGAGACAGGTTATAGACAGTAGAAGGCGGACAAAAAACGTTGCACGTGTTCGCATTAACGAGCTTATATAATAGTAAGGAGGATCGAAAAATGTGTTGACTGTTCAGAATAAGTAGTTGTTCACATAGGTGAGAGGCATTTCGAGCAAATAACGCTCGGTTGCACGCGAGTTTTTTTCATAATTAGGAAGTGTTCACTTTAAAAAGATTTGGCTGTATAATGTTTATTCGTTAAAAATTCAATTTCGAAATAAGTCATTATTTATACTTCTTGAGCAGTAGCTATGACAGGTGTATGGTCGTTATTACAAAAAAAAACATCTGAATAATGTTATTTGATATAAAATGCGATTATTGTCAACATAATCAAATAATTAATCGCAGACTAAATAGCTGTTTTTTCTATGCCAATTCTTTTTCAAAAATATATACCAACTTTTTTTCGTGTTCATATATGAATTTAATCGCTAATTATTTTTCTTTTGATTTAGACTAAAGTCTGTCGGATTGGTTGCAGACTCGAAGCCATCCGAATCTTGGTCTCGAGCATGTTCAATAAGTCGGATCGGAAATTTTGAACTCGACGAGCTGTAATATAGTCTAACTTTCAATCGTCTTGTTTCATCATATTACTCATGAAAGTTCGTATGCGCCAATAATCAAACATTCCAAACTTTAACATTTTCTATACAATATTTTTCACAAAAATAATAATGCAGAACTATTTTATTACCTTTTACTCTATTCAAAAAGAATCGTCTATACGAATTATTTTGTCAATACAACTTTCTCGTAATCAAACTTCATCTCTTCAATACATAAAGTTAAAGTAATCGATCGCAAAATATTCAAATATCATACTGACTCTTGATTTATTTATACATACAACCCTTAATTGTTTATTTATTAAAAAACAAAGCGAAGAAAAAAAGATTATCAAAATGACACACACACACACGCACGTACAAAGAAATTCTAAACACAGTGAAAATCAAAAAAAAATAAAATAAATAACATTCAGCCCTGAGTCTAGCTTTCGTCTATCAGCATCATTAATTAGAAAAAGAAAATGAATAATATTTATCAGACATCAAGTTTCAAATACATTTAATAATGTACTTCTAATGATTTTTTTATTTTATTTTTATTAATCAGAATCACCGGTAAAATCTTAATTAATATAAATCAATTTATTTTGTTTTTTGTTCTTTTATGTTTTCATTTGAAATATAAAATTTGTTGGATCATCAATTATTTCTGGATAAATCGATGGATCATATCGATAAACAATCGTATAATTTGTTAAATAACCATTGCTTATTAATTCATCAATTTCATTTTGTGACCATGTATATAAATAATATAAACGAAAATTTTCCATTAAATATGTTCGTTCATATTGCCAAACATTTTTAATCATTTGTGATAGATTATTATCAATTAAATATTGATATTCATCATTATATGTTGAACCAAATTTAATATGAAATATAGTTGTATTACTTATAATTAAATCCATATCGATATGATTATTTATATTTATTTGTTGTCGTATATTTATTTTAAATTGATGAAATAATTGTTGATTAAGATAAGATTTTAATTGTTGATAATTATTTAAATTTTGAAGAAAATATAAATGATTTTGTTTACGATATGGCATTAAATACGATTGATTAAAAAGTGTAGAAAATAAATCATCATATAATGTAAATGAAATAAATTCTATTTGATTATTTGGATTTTTTATTGATAATGTACGATTTATCCAAAAATCATTTTCATTTTGTATATGTGCTATTGAATAAGTGAATTTGTTTGGATATGATATTGTATAATGTTCATTAAAATATGAAAAAAATGATGAATAAATTAAAGAATTCTCTTCAAGAATAGTATTTTGATTATTAAAATATGGTGAAGATAACATTGAATCATATGCATTTGTAAAATCATAATTTAGATTTTGTAATTGACTAAGAATGTCTAAAAATAATGAGATAATTTTTTTTATGATTTGTAATCAATGAGAGTTTATAAAATTCACTCGAAAAAAAACTGTGTTTGGCATTTGTTCTATATAGATTCTCATATGCATTTTTGTAAACCAGATTTTCTCTGTAAGACAAGGGATTCAAAACTTCGAAAGAGCGAACATTTCGTTTTGGAATCATAAATACTTAGTGCATGATACAACGACTACGAAATCTGGGAAGGATGCTGCCATTTCTACGAAACACTACTCAAATGAATATTTGAATAACGATTTTATTTCAATTCATTAGCATTGACTCCATGCAGGATATTTTATTGACAATATTTCACAAGTACTTGAGTGTTTTATTAACAAATACTTCAGAATTGAGTACTTAACGAACTTGCTCAAATGTTTTAATGAAAGACTCAAGGACATATTTGAGTGCTGGAGTGAGTATTTAAACATTACCTTCAACTGGTTACTTTCTAGCGAGACAACCACTCAAACTGGTGGTAGGCACCGTTTGAGCGAATAATAGATCTACAAGAACGCCTCAATAAAACTAACAAACGTCTACAACAGTTCGTTTCCAAGCGACTTTGGAGTCGAGTTCTAATCATTTTACTGATTTTTTGACGTGGTTTTAGGTGTTCACTGAAAAATCAAAAAAAAAACAGGATTCGACGTGGAATTTTTTTCATAAATAGATCGAATAATTCGTAGAATATCTTGAAAGTTCCAGCCGAAAAGAATGGTTTTTATGTTAAAATATCAAATTTTCAAAAATAATTGCTTGCCAGAGGCATGATACAAAAATCGAGCTTACTTAAAAATCCAATACCTGTATGAAAAAAAACATTATTTTTGACCTAAACTTTTAGGATATTCTACGAATTCTTCGACCGTACTATGGGCCACATTTCACGCCAAAATTCTGCTTTTACATTTTTCAATAGACACTTAAATTTGAGTCGAAAATTCATTGAAACGGTCATAACTCGATTCTTATAGGCCCATGCGAACGAATCTTTCTACACTTTTGCTAATCTAAACAAGGCATTCTTGTAAGCCTCATATGAGCTCAAACGGTGCGTATCACTTCGGATGGTTCCCTTGTAAGTAGTTTTGAAGAAAATTTAAATTGACTTAGGAGTTAAATAGTATAAAATATTTGAATCTGACATCTTCAAATATTTATATGGATAAGGTGATAGGATGAGGAACTATATTTTGAGTATACAGAGAAACCTTGGGCATTAGAATTATTCCGATAAGTTTTGGGCTTAATAGGCCTTCTTTACAAAATAACAACTGTTTTGTTGGATTTTTCGGATAGAATAAAGTATTCATAAGAAGACTGAACAATGGATCTTTTTAGTTGAGATTCTATCTTTTAGTTGATAATCGAGAATTTTTCAATGTTAAATATTTCCCACCGGAAGTATTCGTTTTCAGATGAAACTTTAGATTATTCTTCAAATTATCAGATCTATTGAACAATAAAGTCTTGAATAAAAAAAAACTTAGTAAAAGAATTGTGATATTCTAGAGAAAATCTATGAACTAAAGTCCATTGTCCTGACACCGAACTCGTCCTGGCCCAAAACTTTTTGACCGCGATAGACTGTAGACGTCTGAGAACTGTCTAGAGTACGCTAGTCGCCAAATACAAAAAACCAAAAAAAAAAACAATTTCACATCTTGGAGATGATTATTCAATTCCGATTAGAAAATTTCGTTGAAAGTATCAATGTAGAGTTCGCTAGGATTTGCAAATTTTGGCCGCGACGAGCACTACAATGAACCCAAAGCTTGTTAGAATTATTCAAGTACAGGTTAATGATTCCCACGTTGAGATCTGTGACTTCCCGTCAGAATACTCGAAAGAATGGTAGGAACTTGGAAGTAGGAATCCAATGGCCGGACATTTCTAGTTACCCACCACCGGATTCTTTTCTTGGTCTAATAGGGTTCTCTCTAAATACAAAAAAAACAATCACTTCGAATATTTTTCTCGTTCGATCGTTTCGTACATTGATTTCTCTATTAAAACAGTATCATCTTTTCGTTTCTACTTACCATTCTGATGAAATCTTTGAAAATATATTTCATTAATATTATAAATTTCATCATTAATTTTATATAAATTCATATTATTTAATGGGTTATTAATATTAGGTAAATAGGTTTGTTTATTTATCCATGTTGAAGGAAAATTTGGTACTAAGTATCTTCCAAGATTAAGATCATATAATTTTCCATGAATTTTTTCAAAAGCACAATTTAAATCTTCATCAATTAATAAACCTGCATAGCCAAATGGAAAAAATATTCTATCTTGAAAATTTTTTTCAATTAAAATTTGTCCATATAAACCATAAAATTTCTCTTGTATTAATAAACCATTATTATCATAAATAAATAATGGCGAACCAATTTGATCTGTTAATATAAAAAATTTTTTTTCATTTTGTTCAAAGCCAATTAAATTATTTTGATTGTCATAATAAATACTTGTTAAAAATTTAAATTGTGAATTATATATATGTGTTATTAATTTACGTTGCTGTTGATTTCCATATATAAATCTTAAATAATAACCAGTTAATGAATATAATTTCATAATTAAACGTTGCTCATTATCATAAATATAATCAATTATTAATTGATTATGTTTATATTTAATTAATAAGCCATAGGAATTAAATAAATACAATTTATGATTTGATATTATATGTAAAAAACCATTTTGATCATATTTATAATTTAATGTTAAATTATCATTTGTTATTATTTGTATTATTTGATTCCATTGATTATATTGAATAGATTGATAAGATTTTGTTAAATTTAAATTATTATTCAAATCATATTGATAATGATCAATTGAATATTGATTTTTTTTAATATTTATTAAACGCTTTAAATAATCATATTCATACAAATATGTATATTTTTCAAGTTCATTTAATGATATTTTAATTTGTTCTAATAATAATTGTTTATTATTATAAATAAATTCAATATTTAAACGTTTTTGATTTTTATAATTAAAATTTATTTCTTTTAAACGTTTATATTCATCAATACGACGTGATATTGTTATTAAATTTAAATTATCTTTTATATAGCATTCANTTATCTCTATCTCAAGAGCACCAAAACAAAACAAAATTCGTTTTCAAATTCTACTAAATTCCAATAAAATACTAACCATTATCATTATCGATTTGATCATTGCAATTATTTTCAATTGTAAATTGACATTCTGGTCCAAACCAATTAGTGTGACATATACATTTATTTATTTTACATTCTCCATGTCCATTACAATTATTCGGACAAGCATCTAAAGAATTTCATCATCATAATTATTCTTCTTATTATTTTTCAATTAAATGCACAAACCTATTTGACAATATCGACCAGTATATTCATTTTGACATAAACAAGTTCCATTATTATCACATTGTTTACATAATTTTGAACAAATCTTTTTCGTACAATTTTCTCCTGTCCATCCATCATCACATTGACATTTATCTTTATTATTCATAGAACATTGTCCATGAATGCCACAATCAATATTACATTTTGCTGTAATAAATAAAAAAAATTATTTTGATTATTAATAAAATACAAAAAAAAAAAACACAAGAATTTACTTACGTTGTGAACAATCTTCACCTGTCCAATTATTATCACATATACACATTGATTTCGGATAATCAACATATTGTCCATGTTCTGAACATCGATTATCACATTGTGAATGAATTAATATTGAACAATCGTTATTGGTATATCCATGAAAACAACGACATTGTCCTTCAATGCATATACCATGATTACTACAATTAACATTTTGACATGAAACTATAAATGAAAAACAAAACAAAAAAAGATATTCATTTTTATTTATGTATGAACACTTTCAAATTATTCATACTCTGTTCACAAAATTTTCCTTGATAACCACTTTGACAAACACATTGACCAGAAATACAAGTACCTTGATTATTACAATTACTTATTTCACATTGATTGGACATTAATTGACATTCAGCACCATGCCAACCTTCTTGACAACGGCATTGTCCATGTTCAATAACACCATGTTCACTACATAAATCTGTACATTGTGCTAAAAAGAATAAAATTGCAAAAAGAAAAAAAAAAGTCTTTCTATGTTTCAAATGTTGTTTCTTTACCAACTGAACAATCCGATCCTGTATATGATGGATAACATATACAAATACCATGTTGACAAATACCATGATTATTACAATTATTTAAACATGTACGTTCATTTTTTTCATCGATATGATCAATATTTAATTGAAATTTTTCTTTAGTTAAACCATCATTTATTATTGTTATATACCAAAGTCCTGTTGTTAATAATTCATTACATAAAAGTGTTAATTGTTCATCATTAATATTTGTTATAAATATTTGTGATGTTCGATTTTGTAATAAACTTCGACGTACAAGATGATGTTGTCGTTGTTGATTATTTTCATGAAACGAATGAAAAAAATCAAATTGAGTTAAACTTGGAGAATTCGATCGTTTGCCATAAATACCTAAGAAAAAAGAAATTTATAAATTTTTTTTTGTCATTTCTATTTCATTAAAGTAAACGAAATTGATATCGTAGAATTCAATAGTAGGAAGCTGCAGGTTCATGTATTTTTGGATCCGGAACCGAACCGACCCGACCTTGACTCGATCCGAACCCGAGCCGTACCTCCTCTATTCAACGGAATTTTTATCGTTATTAGAAGCGTTTATGATTAACAAAAGGCTTTTGTTTAGAATATTCTTTTTAATAATTTTTCTTTACCAAAATTTGCTTGTCGATTAGCTGTAAAATTAAATTGTATTGACGTTGTTCGTTCGATATAAAACTGTAATTGTGTACTTGATTGTGAATCTATTGTTTCCTTTATTGTATCACCAATACGAATGAAACGTGTTGTTTTACCTAGAAAAAATGCAAAGTTTTTTTTTTAAAATTAATTCAATGAAACAAACCATAAAATAAATTTTGTTGGCGAATTTTTGGTGGTGTTAAATTTATTTCTCGAAATGTTGGATGATAAAAATGCATAATTGATAAATAAATAGTTGATACTAAGAAACATAATGTTGTTAAAATAAAAATAATTGCAATTGTTTTCCATGAAAAAAAATTTCTCTGAAAATAATTTTCATCTGTTTTTCGTTTTTTTAATCGACCTGATGAATTATTAAATAATGGACAAGGTGAATGTGTTGATTGTCGTGTTGTTGTTGTTGTTTGTTCATTATATGTTGTTGAATCACAATTACAACGAATATGTGAATGAGAATGATGATGATGATGATCCAACGGATAAACATAACAATTATTTCGAAAGCTAGAAACATACAAAGAGAAAAAAAAAGAATTATTCATGTCCTTGTTATGTCAATGTAGTATTTAAATTGTTAATTAAATCAAATAAACTAATATTATTATCTATGTTATAAAAGAAAGGAAAAGAATTTAGACATGTCTATTGTTCATTCAATGATCAGCCGTCCGGGTGTGACTTACTTTTTAAGTCAATACACAACAAAAAAAGACTAATTCGATTTTTGTTGACAATTGCACCCTAATACATACACACACACATCATCCCATTAGCGTGAAGAGTAGTAGCTATTACGCAAGATTACTCTACTTGATATATATATATGTGAAACATATAGACAGAGTCTAATTTGCATTGTGCAAACATAAACTATACGTATACATACCAAGGCAGTAATGGTGTATCAGGAAAGATCTCATTCTTATTGTCGTTTGAATGAATTACATATTCACGATGACTGGAAAAGAAAAAAAAACGATTGATATTAATAGAGACGTACAAGTTAATTAGTCCTACGGGAGCATAGAACAATGATTATTAAGAAGTCTATACATGAACTTTTTTTTGTCCTTTCTTTGTTATATTTCGAGGCAGGTGAAAATATTTGCTTTTTTGTGCATTAACCACATTTTAATCAATCAACAGAATACATAATCAAGTGGCTAACAGACCAAGCTAATAAACATAAGTCTTATTCGTTCCGGATGTACTACTAAAAGCTCTTTTCTTCTCTTTATATATATATATGTACGTATGTCTGACTGTTTGATGATAATGAGAATAAATAACGAGTATACTTCTGTCTATGTTTGTTCGAATAATGAACATCAAACATACTTATTGAAAAATAGAAAGAAGTAACTAACCTGTCGGCATCAATTGTCTGATAGACATTTGATAAATTAGAACGTGGTCGATCAATAGTTGACATTGTTGTTGTTGTTAGTTGAGTAGGATTTGGACATGAGTAGGCGGAAGATCGAAGAGGAAGTGTACCATTATTAATATTACTACCGTTTAGATCAATAGTCGAAGAAGGCATCAATGTACCTAGAAAAAAGAAAATGAATATGAATTTATTGACTGGAAGAAATACAGATGATGATATTGTGGCATTTAATGTGTAATATAATAGAGAAATATGATAGACTAAACAAATTTCTCGTTTCGTAATCACCTGCTGGACACTAGAAATGAAGAATACCATCGAACGTATATATGTATATAATATATATTTATATATGTGCCTTATTTCGATCATCATCATGCATCTTAATATAGTCGAATGTATCATGTGACAGTAGATAAATGAGATGCGATATTATTTAGCTAGCTTTCGTAATCTCGTAATGCAAATTCTCATCCTTCTTCACACGTGTGTATATGAATTCATCATTAACGTCATCGAACAGTAATATGAATGACAAAATGAAGGACATTGATTAAAATAATGATTCGATATCTACAATATAAGACTGACCTGAGATCAATAAATGTGTTGCATTAACTACTGTGCCGGATGGAAACTGTGAAGGGCGATAAGTCTTTTTTCTTCTTCTTCTTCTTCTTTCATATTCATCTTCTTTCTTTCTTTCTTTTCCCTTTTCTCTGGTGTGTTCATCAGACTGTAGGCAAATTCAATCGACACTACACATATACATACACACACACACACGCACATACAGGCGCAACCAACTGATAAGAACCGAGACTAATCGATCTCTGCTGGAATGATATCTCTGTGAATGTGTGCATGATTCTCTTTTTGCTTTGTCGTCAATTGATTACCACAGCGACCCGAGTGCCGTGTCGAAGACAATTAGAACAAGAGTTTGTCACCGCCGCTAGATAGAAGAATACCAAATCGAACTCGATGTGTTCGATCAAGAGAAAGAAAAAAAGAGTAGAACTCAGGGTCATACACGACATCCGCCAATAGTCAGAACTCAACTATTGTCAGAATGTGTACGCGAGCGCGTAATCAAACGACCGTATAAAAAGAGAGGTCATCGAATGCACAATCAAGTCCTAATAGAGCTTACTTCCTCTCTTAGTCTTGCATATGCATACATCCGGATCAATACTAGGATATACATACGCTTAAAACAATCAAATACAAATTGAAGAAGAAATCTATTCTATTAACTTTACCTTGTGCATGAGGTATTAAGAGAGCATTGCCGGTTTGTGTTTGTATCATGAAAGCAGTACAATGTGTTGATGATGGTATGGGTGGAGGAGGTACAGGTGGAGCAACGGCATGTGAACTTGATGAATCAAAACCACTATCAGCCATATAGGTGTTAGTTGTCATTGAAGTGTTATCACTGCACAAAAGAATCGAATTACGTGTTGTTGTTTTAATTTGACTGAGTAATGTTGTGTGATCAACAGGAATCATAGGAGGATGAGGCGGTGGTGGCGGAGGTGGGATTTGTGGTGGTGTAAGAAGTGGTGATAAAACAGTTGAATCCATCGCAGAATGACTTCCTTAAAAAAAAGATAAACGCATATATATATGAATTGTTCGATTGTATGAAAAATAAATATCTTTTTTTTTACAATCCTATGTTAGTCAATTGTCCTTCTTGCAGTTCGATGATCAAACGATGACTGGACACTCTTAACCTTTTTTCTCTATCTCGACGTGTCCACGTCAATAGTCACTTCACACAAATAGCTAGAAGCATTTTATTTAATTCAAAAGAAGGAAAAAAAACCTATCGATATATATGATTAATCATTCATCGAAATAAACTTACATCGTATGAAAAAAAATAATGTTGCGTGTATTAACTCAACATTGTTCTGATTGCTTACTAGTACCACTTGCATGTCACTTGGTGTTCATTATGATTTTTTTTACTTTCTCTTTACGTTGAATGAAGCAAAAAAAATGAGCAAAGGCAAGAAGTATAAACTCTTCTATATGGTACGTAAGTGCAGAATAAAAAGGTGTCGACCACTACTATTTTCTTTTTGATCGTTTCCTTGTCTTCTTTCTCTGTCTCTGTCTCTCTTTCTTGGTAACACTTTTTTCTGTCTCCTTCTCTGCCTCTGTCTCTCTGTCTCTCTCTCTCTCTCTCTCTCTCTCTCCCTTTCTTTTTCTTGCTCGTTACGCTTAGACGACAATCGCTTTTACTGTAACATGCATACAGTGATGGCTGAAGAGAATAAGTCACTGCAGTTTTCTTCGAATTGAATGTGTATCTATTTTAAGTTACAATTCAAACCAAAAAAGAATCGAGAGCAAAGCAACCAAAGCGTGATAACACCCTTGTCTACAATTGCTTAAACGGTCTATTCTCGACACAATATATATACATGTGTCTATGTGTTCTTTTTTGATTAAATTCGATGACAAGCTGAACGAGAAAGTTACAATTAATTTGAAACGATCATCAATAATGTGCGTATGTGGGTACATATGTATGTGCAACAGTTTGTCGCCCATCGTACGTCGTCATCATCATTTTGACCTGCATTTCTATGGGTTAGTTATTGTAACGCGTGAAACGAAGGAAGGGACCATATACAATACAATTGAATGCAAAAAGTGCTTCAAGAAGTATATATATATATATATGTATGTGTATATAGAGTAATAGTAAAAAGTAACAGTAAAAGAAAACAAAACAAACATCATATTTGACCGTCGTCTCTATGAACAATTTTAATTATGATCTTGAGCTAGACGCACAGGAGGAGTGTATTGAAAAGACAGAGACATATCAAAAAAAAAAAAGACGAACGACGAGGACTACCAAGTGATTTTTAATATTATTTACTCGTGACTAGTTTGATATGTAGGTTACATTGAAGTTTTTTATCATTACTAGACAATCGATAATACACTACTCTTATGAACAATAGTTGGGCGACAGTGAGATAGGATCATCAATCCGCGTATTTCGTTTGTACACTAGAGAACAATAAATTTATTCTATGTTGCGTGCTTCATTCGTTTATATTATGTGTATTAGATCGACTGGTGCGATCTAGAATATTCAATTTCTCGTCGTTGTCACCACCTTAACATGTAAAAAATTGACATACCATGCAATATTACGTGACAACACATATAAACATTGTTGTATGAATAATGAAAAAAGAAGAAAAGGAAAAGAATGTCGTCATTGTTCCGCGATCGTAAGACAATTAGATCGATTGGAATACGGAGAAAAAGAAAAATGAGAAGTTTTTAAGAAAATCATGATTCTTTTTTGCTTGAATAAATCGATTGCTCGAGGATAACCTAGCAATGATCATTGTTGATGATAATTGCCATTAGAACAAAACATATATTCCCACCCGCTATGCTTAGCATGGTGTCTCAAGAAAGTGTGAGTTAATTCAATTAGAAATGCCGTAAGCAAGAAGACTAACTGAGAAATGTTATTCTAATATATACATATAAAAACATACTAAGGAGAAAATGAGTTTTTTTTTGTTTTGTTTTCTACTAAACTAACCTGATTCTTCATCATCATTGCTTGTTGTTGTTGGTGATGTATTTGAATCATTTAATGAAGAATTTGAATGTTCAATATGATGTTCAGATATAGGTTTCATATTTGTATTAGAATGTATACATCGATCAATTGTACATAAAAGTGCGGCATTCGTTGTAACATTCGGATTATTGTTAACATTTATTTTATGTTGAAGATATGGATGATGCGTACATGAACATAAAATAATGTCTTTAGTAGTTTGATGATGTCGTTTATGACATGATGATCTGGGAAATAAATTTGTTGATAGTGGTGGAGGTATTAAAGATGTACAACAGGATGATGATGTTGGATGAACACCTGCGTATAAAAGAAGAGAGAAAAAAATTAGCCCCTATCAACTCTACATTCACACACACACACACCAAACAACACAAATAATCGTTAGTTGAGACCATTAATGAACCACACACACGCACTCAGACACTTTAGCCCTTCTCTTCGCATGCCGCTCGGCAGGGATACAACAGACTGTTCTTTTCATCTTGATAGGTAAACAAGACTCACTCACCAGATTCTCCTCCTATGCTCTGGTGACCTTATCTCATATACATATATATTCTCTTAACCAAAAAGAAAACCGCTTCATATAGTATAGAAAAATCTTGATAAAGATACTTTATAAACTATCGTTAGCAATTTGTCAAAGATATATATATATGTGCGTACAATATTATCCGTTTTATGTAACTCTTTCGATTGATCTTTTCGATTGCGAGTAACAATCTATTGTGCATCATGCATTGATGAACATCTGTGTCCCAATATACACTCTCAGGACTTACATCATGTATAACAGAAGAAATAAAAAAAAAAAAAGAAAAGAAATCTCTTGTACGTATACATACATATATATATATATATGCAGTTGAATTGATCATGCAAAAGAAAACTGTACGATTGTATTTCATCCAAAATATACACGACAATGACGATTTAATCGTGCATGTCCACCATGGCCATTCTCAATTCAAACACAATTATTACGTAAGACTAGAACAACAGGCATGCTCTATTTCTTTTGGTTAGAAAAGACAATTGGTTAGAATATTAATACACACGAGAGAGAAAAAATGGAAGAGTATATGAGGAAACTACAAGGACACAAATGTCGCATGAGGTTGAAAATTGAATTGTTATTGATGACGCGATTTTAAAAGATATGGCAAGCAATAAAAAAAAAAGAAAAGAAATAAAATAATCACTAAAAACGAGGACAAAACGTGCATTATAATCATCACATCATTATGGTTAATCTTGTCAATATGAACATGAATATTTCACTTCGAAAAACTATCAATAAATGATCGAACAAATATAATGAGTATGATTTGATTCAATCTTATATGTATAAATGAGCAATTTGTCATGATATACAAGAATCCAATGACTAGTCTTGATATTCATCATCACGACACGAAAGAAAAAAGTGATGATATGTATCATGATCAATCTTCATAAAATGAACAAAATAAAACATATTTGTTAAATGAAAACATGTCAGATCATAATCATTTATACTTAAGGTTTGTTTTATTTCATCTTAGAAATCTTACCATATTGTATTGATGTTTGTTGTTTTGTATTTGACATTGTAGAGGAGGAGTTATTGTATGAATCTGAATAATAACCACTTTCAACTTGCCATCCATGAGATGATGATGGAGGACAATGAATATTAACCATTGATGTCCGTGACGTTGTCATAATCTTAAGTTAAATGAAAAGAATCTGAATAAAAAAAAAAGCGAATCAAACCAACATTATTTTTCTCTTTCTCTCTATGATCAAATTTCTCTTCTCTCTCTTATTCTCTCTTTCTTTATCGCTCATACATTGATTGTATATACTCATATATATGTGCATCATCTGTGATTAAAAAAAGACAGATGAATATCAACATATTTACTTCTCGACTTTGCTCACGTAATGCTATGAAGTATGACAGAAAAAAAAATCGAAGAAATTAGACAGCTTCTGTTTCTCTTAGAATCTTAACTGACAGGTATCGATATCGATAATGTTGATGATTGTTGCATCAGAAAAGAGACGTCTTTCGCGCTGCAAATCATCATCAGACTTATAAGACTAGTCGCGTCTTATTACTCAATAATGACAGCTCGACTCAATCAATCTGTATCATCAATATTGACTTTCCGGATCGGATCAGATAGCACATATTGCTTAGAGATTATTTGTGTTTCGTTTTTTAATTATAATCATTCAGAGAATAATTAACAATTAAAATTATAAAATATATTAATTAAGACTTCTAATTCTAATCATAAAATACTAAAAAAAAAAGAAACTATTTATCTATCTATTTTTCCAGTGCAAAACATACTTGATTTTATGTGATATAAAGAAAAACATACATACGATAAAAAGTTATCATCCTTCGGCAAGGTCTTTAAAATTATATTATGTAGAAATGATCCATACTTTCAATAAATATGTGTGTGATCTTGTTGACATTTGACTGAGCACATACACATGGCCAATCTGATTATGATAGTAATAAAATCACTGCCAATGTCATATAATCGGAATGCTCAAAACTTTTTTCTCTCTTGTTTTGAATAATTGACACATGAACGTTAAACGTGTATCATCTCACATTATTTACATAGTGAAGGGTAATGGTGAGCTCTTCTCATATTCAATGTTTTTGTTCAATCGATAAAAACGACAAATAAATCTAATCTCGCACCATGCTGCACATATTTCCTTTTGCTTTCTAATGATTTCGATTGAATATAGCAAACATTAGGATATCACCAACCATTCTTTCATTCATATCATTCAATGAATATGGAGAATAAATTAAAGCAAGCTGGGTTCGTATGTATGCCAAATACAATAACTGTCAATCAATATACAAACACAGAAGAGTGAAACATGTGCTGAACACCACAGGTGATTTTTATTCAAATGAGACAAAGAAAAACCAAGTGTTTTTTTCTTTCTCGCGTTCAATTAGTGACCTAAGCTAATAGAATAACAAAAACATACATATATAAATATCTATGTAGCTATATATGTCGACTAACGGTAAAAGAAATCACTTAATTGTAAATTAAATTGACTTGACTCGAAGCATTTATATTCTTATCAGTACGGTTCATTTCTCTATGATTTCTTTTTTTAATCTACCTTTACTAGATAAAAAATGATGATTGTTTGAAGCCTTATTTTTTTTTTGACTGGTATATAAATGAAAATAAGATGCAATTCGAAATGAATATGAAGCCAAACTCTCAGACGACAGATAAGTATTCATAAAAAAAAAAAAAGAAAAGTTACTTCTATATTTTACGTGAGGTCAATGGATTATAAGAAAAACAAAAAAAAAGTCAAAAGATATCTTATCAATGTTTGAGACGCAATACTTACGACGACAAGTGTTCACACATACTTAACCTATGAATATCATGAACATAGACAAGAGAAAAACAAAAAAAAAAAGAATTGATCTAACTTTAGCCTTAAGCATTTACTTTTTCTCTTCAATTCTTCATTTGATTTGGACTCAAATATCAAACAAGAAAAGAAGAAGAAAAAAAAACTAAATCAACGATAAAATTTAGATATATGAAAAAAGAAACCAATCTTTGATCATTGACACATGTTCATTTCTCATATTTGCTATCATAATTTTAACTACATCTGCCCAATTTCCATGGACGAGTACAAAAGAAAGAAAAAAAGTAACATTTTAGATATATCTTTTTTCAAGTTCAGAAAAAAAAGAAAAGAAAAGTAATCCTTGATCATGTGCACATCTGTGGACCCTTGTTGACCCTCACCGCTAACTTCTTTCGCAGCAATTCACACATAATTTATATATTTATTTTCTTTGACAAAAGACAGCTGGCTCACCTGGTCATCAAATCTTGATCGTTTAATTGATTCATTTGAACATATGGATACATGTATGCGCTTGAGATAACAGTAAAATAGACGAACAATACGGCATCATAAACAAGTTTATTATTAATCTTCGAAACAATGACGTTTATTTCACGCTCGAGCTATGATAACTATGCAGATACATTGAGAATAAGAATATGAAGAATGAACATCAGGGACGATGATCGAGTATAGAGAAAAGGAGTAAACTACACATTCTCAGATAATGCATTTATTGCAGCTATTAATTTACACATACATAGAACGAAGACAACGGCTGTTACTAAGACCACAAGTACGATAAACCATGCACGAAATAGATATTTGATCGGTCCCTCGAGGACATCAAGATGACGATGGAAGAAAAAAAAATGAAAGACATTTGCACGGACTGATACAAAACAAATTGGTCATCAACTATGATAGACGATGACCTGAGCGGAGGAAAAGATTGAGCGCTGACATAACTCTTTTTTTTCTTACAAATGACGATCAATCGTTTGTGGTCAGTTAGACTCAATAGCTCAACAGCTCAACAGCTCGTTAGAGTTCCTAGTAGAACTCAGGAAGAAAAATCGAGCAAAGAAGGAACTAATCGGTTCATCGATAGACTTATTATCGTGTACAATACTTACGAGAGTTCTTTACATATAATAGTAATCAAATGAAGTGAATCAAGTCAAAAATGCGTGGAGACAAGAAAATGAGCATCGTCATCATCATCATCATCATTCATCTCATTTTCATCTATCGGAGACATACTGCGAAATCCACTCGACAATGAGGAGATAGTAGGGCGGCGATGCTAACATTGTCCTCTTGAAAAATTAGTACACAGCTGTGTCGAAGTACTCAGACAGACAAGCGTAATTTATATGAATCGAAAGAGTAAAGAAGATGAAACTAACTCGAATTGAATCATTTTGTTGATGACAATAATAACAAAAGAAAATGAGAATTATTTATTTATTTTTAATTGTATTTTTATCAACAGCTGCGACGTTCATGTTTATACGTGTCGAGTTGACATTTATTTCACGATTAACAAAGTAGATAATAGCCAACTATGGGTCATTCAATATTCGAGACATAATAATGTCTGTTGAACGTCAAACCTTCTGCAAAGGAAGGAAATGTGGCGTGTTGCCAGACAATAGATACATACGTCTCTTTAAAAAAGTAGTATTGACGGAAACAAATCATGAGTGGCACGAGGCGAGATTTATTATCGCTTCTTTTTTTTTTGATTGATGATCGGTGTGAACTTTTCCTATACAAATCACTGACGGAAATATGAACGTCATCTTTAGATTATTCTTTTTGCCAAATAGAATAGATTTCTATCATTAAAAATAATTTCTTTCATGAATAAAATCTTATTGTTATGTGATAAAACACTGAAATGTTGAATAATAGAAATTAATGATTGTATTGAAGGAAAAATTTATAATTTTGAATTATATCTTTGAAACAAGCTAAACTAAAAGAAAGATTAAAATCACTTAATAATCTGAACTATTACAATCATATTGATGAATTCTTTTTTTCTAATAGTAAAACTCATTACATGACTAATAAAGTCTGACGTGCGGTGCAGATTAACAGTACAATATCATTTTTTCTTGGGCACTCGTGAGGGAACTCTTCCTACTAATAACCTCTGTTCAGGCTCATAATTTACTGATTGTCAGGGTCTATTGTATAGATAAAAGTTCAAAGAGGATATATACCATTAGCGCTTTCTTCTTGAGTCATGATCATTTTTCTGAAGCTGCAGTGTATTGCAAGATATTACGAGGAAAACTGAATCAAGGAATTTTATTCATACGTTGATCTAGTATTCCTTACAATATTCTGAAAGATTTAACAAAAACGGGTTTCGAAAGAAATTAGCGATTTTACAACTCTGTTATCTTGCAGCAGAAACATTTATTTTTACTGAAACTTCCAGGGTGTTATAAGGACTAATAGGTCTATGTATGAGTCAAATTTCTTGATACTTTTTTCTTTGTAATATCCTGTAATTGACTGAAAATTCAGTAAAATGATCGTAACTGAAGAAGCGCTAACGGTCTATATCCTTTTAGAATTTTTATCTGTCTAATAAACCTTGAAAGAAATCAGTAAAATATGAACTCGAATGGAGGCTATTACTAGGAAGAATTCTTCTGTCAGATATATTTTTAGAAAGTTATTCAATAGAGAGTTTTTTGCTGTTCAAAACTGTTGCATTTATTTTTTTCTGTTGGAGAAAAATTTTAAATATTCACATTCATTCAATCGTCTAACTGAGACGGTCAAACAGAATGTAAATTTTCTTTTAACAACAGTTTTCTGAAATGACAAGCATGCTATCAAATTCTGCATCTTTTGATATATGTTTTAGAATTTAAGAATAATCATGAAATAAAAACTAAGAAAAAGCTTTGTCTTACGTGAATACATGATTGTTCTTTTTTATTTTGATAGAACCTAATAGTTTGTACTGATGAACTTCGCAATCACAACATTTTCGTTCAAAATTAAATTGAAAAATATCAGGAGGTTTTATTCTCATGAACGATCGCACCGAGAACCTTGAAATGGTCGTAGATGCAGAGAGCACAAAACTCTCTATTCATTGATGCTAATTATATTAAATTTTGCATTGCTCTTCATGAACAAAGACTTCCTGGAGAAAATCACAGTGAGATAATTAAACAAGCGTTTATATTTAAAATTTTGCTTCAATAAGAAAAATTGATTTGAAAAACAAACAAAACAGTTACGTAGTGCAAAAAATTCTCTATCGATTGCATTGTTGAAAGTGGATCAGAATGACCCAGAAAAAAAAAGAAAATTATATTGTCCCATTTAATCTGCGTCACTCGTGAACGTTCTTATTCATGTCTACTCTGTCATGTAATTGATCTTTATCACATATTCATACTACTAGAGTTTTTTTTTTGTGTACTTTTAGCAATACTTAAAGAGCGCATGTATGATGAAATGCAATGTAAAATACGTTGACAATTATCGAGAGAACAAAAGAAAACATTGCATGTTCCTTGAGTATTTCGCAATACTCATAAGAGACTGTGCAATATCTGTAAAATGATTTATTGATGAATCACCATTGACATATATGAAACCAATAGTGCTGAAGTTATTGCACAATCATTACTATTTATTTATTTACAGTATCGCGTTATTACAAGCGACTAATTATTTAATATAAGATGGCAACTTCGTACAATTCTTCGAGTAAACAAACCTCTCAACAAAATATGAATAGTTCAATGAATCAATCATTATCTATATATGTTGGAAATTTATCATTTAATACAATTGAAGAAGATTTACAAAGATTTTTTAATGAACAATGTGGCAATGTCAAACGAGTTCGTATTATTTATGATAATAATACACGTCAAAGTCGTGGTTTTGGTTTTGTATATTTTAATACCGTTGAAGCACATAATAGTGCACTTCAAATTCAAGATTGTCAATTAGATGGACGAGAACTACGTATTGCACCAGCCGAAGCAAAAAATTCTTCTTCTTCTTTTTCTACTAATACAAATACATCTGCTGATGTTTCTAGCAATGTTATACCTGAAACAACAAATAAACCAAGGACACAAGTAGTGCATTGTAGAAAATCAAATTATGATGTTTATATAGGCCGACCGTCAGATTGGGGTAATCCATTTGTTATCGGTAGAGATGGTGATCGAGCAGATGTTATTCGAAAATATCGTAGTTGGATAATGCGTCAACCCGATTTGTTAGCTAGAGCTAAAAAAGAACTTCGTGGTCGAAGAATAGCATGTTGGTGTAAACCAGAAGCATGTCATGGTGATATTCTTGCTGAAATAGCTGATGTAGATTAAATAAAATAGTCACAATGGTTTCTTTTTTGAGAATATATTCCCCAAAAGAAAATATATTATTGATTAAAATGTCTGCTTAGGTGTTTGCCTCATTTGGATTGCCTCTCATTTTAAAGCTCATTGGAGTAAGTTTTAAAGACATTGTTATGCAATTGGACTTGTTTATTGAATAAAATAAAGATCTATGTATTGTGTTAATGACAAGATTTCATTGTGAATAACGAAAGTATTTATTAGTTTAAAGGTATTATGCTTCTCTTATGCAAACATTAATTTTTTTTTCTGCTTTATATATACGTCTCGAAGCATCTGCTATCTACTGGAAATATTTCAAGAATTATTATATATCTATAAAAGTCAAAAATCTGGAAAAAAAGCAATTACACTTTATTTCGCTGTTTTTTCTATGAAAGTTGAGAATTGTTCTCGTTTCTCAACCACAGTACATCCAATCCAACTGAAACTTTCTTCTACTTATATCAGCAAATATTTAGAGCACTTACATTTTTTTGCTATTTCAAAATATGATGTACCAGTGATTACGACCAGTGTGTACAAAACAAAGATGCATTTTTGGAGGCATGCTGAGTATTTTGATCTTTTTTTTTGAATTGAAGGACAGGAAAAAAATAGACACCCCAAACAGTGTCTGGTATCTGTCAAAAGAAAATATTCAATTATCTCAGATGTATTGCAATTGAGAAAGCCGAGCAAGCCAAATATATCATAGAATAAGACATTTGAGAATTTTTCTCTGTGATAACTTTTGCTGTACTCATTGCGATTTATCTACTGCAAAAGTTTCAAATTTGTTTGAAGATTCGTTCGCCTGTATGGCTGAAAAAGGGAAGGAATGATGTCGTGCTCTTAATTTTTGATAACATCAAAGATTCTCAAATCAAATAAGAAGCAAAAATAAGTAAATAAAATATTTTATTTTTATTGTTATGGTCAATTTACATCTGACATTCAGAAAAAATTAAGATAAGAAAAAAAGAAACTTAAATAAACCAACATTGTCTTTTACTGCTCTTTTATCTTGATATTTTCAAGATTTCTCTTTTCAGGATACAGTATATTACTATTTTTAGGACAATTTTTTTTATAAATGTCTTCGATTATATTACGAAACTCCGAAATAGTTAGTGTCAAAATGAAAAGAATTTATGTCATGTTTGTCTTGGTTGAGAAATGGCTATAATCATAAGATAAAAATGGAATGTAGATATGTTACTTGATATAACCATGTTTACCCATCATCTTCTTGAAGAGTATTAATAAATGAGAGACATGTAATAAGTGTCAGAATCTGTTCTTGTCAGCTGGAAAAACAATCAAAACAGTTGTAGAGAGTTAAATTCTTTCTAATAACAGTTAAGGATATTTATCTCCTACGCCTTATTTTCATACAAAAGCTTATAGATAGATTAAACGATAAGGTTTAATCTTGAAGAAAATTTTTAACGAAAGTCTAGTGATTCAAATTTGCTTTCTTTTTGTATTTGATATTGAAAATATCAATTATTGGTAAAAAATGTTTATCTCTTTACACAAAGAACTATTATTTCTGAGTGCTATTTTCCTATTCTCGAGGATATTTATCTAAACTTTATGGTGGCTACTATTGTCCTGTTGTGTTCTTTTTTTCCCATGTACATATATACGTGTATAACACCAACATATTCTTAGCTAGTCTGACCGAGAGGTGAAGCTAAAAAGAGAAACGATGCTCGTAGAGTATAGTGTGCTGATAACATCTGAGAGAACAGAAAATAATGGCAAACAGTACTAGTAGTATCAACCATGGCAGTCACAGTCATAAGAATAAAGAGCATATACGTAACGGCAAGGAAAAATAGTTGAGCATACAGATCCCTATTGATTACATAAAAACAATGATGGATGTTCAAGAAAGAAATAATGTAAGATATATTTATTTTTATTTTGTATTTTTTTTGTATATTTGCGTGTCTTTTCTTCATTATCCAAGATCTTTTATTGCATATATAAATATGATAATGTCGCAAGAGAAAAATAAGAAAGTTTGCTAATCGAATTCAGCGATAAATGAAGACAGTAAGAGCAAATATCATTGCTGTCTCTCCTCAGCAGGATTCTAAACTCGTTTTGTGTATTACGGCATTGATAAGCGATAAGCGAAAAAGGAAGAGAAAGTCGTATTTTGCTCCTGCTGGCCATTCTCCCATTCAAGAGAATCACTTATTGAAAGATCGCAGTACATTTAATAAATGAAACATTTACTTAGACAATTCATAGTAAGTATATAATAATGTGGCTTTTCAATGGACAGCAAACATCTTTGATGGTAAAAATTTTATTGCTTTGTTTTTTTATTGATCGTCACTTCAAAAAAAAAGAAGGAGACAAGAGAATACGACAAATATTCTTCGTTATTCTTTTACTGCGAAAATTTTTTTTCATAGGTTTTTTTTATTTCGTTTGCTTTTTTCTTGATGTTCTTTCTTCTGCTCGTTTGATTTGTTATTGATGTTCTTCAAACAAACTAACATACTGTACAGTAAAAATGCAGATGAGACGATAGAAAAAGAAAAAAATAACAAAGTAAATAAATATTTGAGACCACTATTCACTTGCACACATTATCTCAATGCGTAGGAATAAGTAATAAAATAACGAAGAGTAGCAAAAACCTTATACGCATATGTTGGACAAATATACATTTGCACCTTTAATCAATTCATATAATGAAGATGAATAAAAAAAAACGAAAGAATAGTACACATATGGAAAAATATCGATGTATATTTTCTGCAATCGATGTGTGATAAATTAGCTCATATTAAATAAAATGGACGAGAAAATTTACTATAATAAGGATAGTTTTATGTTTGTAGTATTTTATAGCTTTGCTACAAAGAATATCGTACATGTTGTTGTTATTTTGACGAAAGCATAATACTATATATATGAAAAATTACATGCATATCTATACACTTTATTCAAAAGGAATAAAAGGGATGATAGAATGATTCATTAAAGGAATGCGCAAAGAAGAATAAAAAAAAAACTGCACGTTCTTCTTACTAGATGTGTGTATAACTATGTAACATCATTGTAACACCTACTATCTACTGTTTTTTTTCGTTTGTCTCCTTGTGCTGAAGGATGGTCGTTATTGTCGAGTCACTTGACTATTGTTAAGGTAATACTTGTTTCGATTTTTTTTATTGTATAAGCGACTAGTTTGATAGTGTAGTGTCAATTTCTGATTTTTATTGTTGCTGCTGTTTCTATTACTACAGCCTTGCAGGTGTCTTTAAATCATATATGTATAAATAAATAGGTATTACAATTTTTTCTCAGTTCTTTTTTTTCGTTCTTATTTGTTCCATTTTTTTTACACATATACATGTGTGTGTAAAGTCTCCAAATCACATTTCAATACCATGAAAGACCGAATCAGTAGCAATAGCAGCAGCAGCAGCTTTAGTAGTGTTGGCAGCTACAACAATTACGATGTAGATTTACTTTAAAAAAATAATTTAATTGTTTTTCATTTAAATTTATTATAAAATGTGTAAATATTTAGGTAAACTTCGACGCAGCACAATCAACATCAATATCAACATCAATGGATAAAGAATATTATCGACAAGTACCATACCGATTTTTTAATAATGAATCAAATACAGATGCGTGTAAATTGGAAAAACTAACTAATTTATTTCCTGATATGAAAGCAATTATCGAATTAGGTATCATTAATTTATTTTCGAATAAAAACAAAAAACGAGAAAAATATCTTGTTTTTCTTTTTTTAATTTCTTTTTCAAAGAATTATTTAAAATGAATAATTTAACACAGACAATCGATCGTCTTTCACGTATATATACAGTTTTAACAGCTCTTGATACTCGTGATGATACACTACATTTATTTCTTGGTCCATATCATCTATCACTTGGTCCAGCATTATTTGCAGCACTTCATTTTAAAAATGCTTCAGCAGCATTACTTACAACATCACGTCCAACAATATCAGGTAATAGTGAAAGTCAACGACGTAAACGTCGACATGAAATTGTACTTCGGCGATTTCGACGTGCTGTACGAAAATTAACTCTTGTTAAATCAATTATTGGTCAACTTCGATCAGCTTCGATTCTTACACCATACAATCAATATGAATTATATACACAAGGAATTTATGATCTTGTTTTAGCTGGACATGAACAATGTTCTAATTCAACATTTATTAATGATAATTTTCTTGAACAATTACAAAATTTTGATTTAGTAACAAGTGCTGGAGAACGAAGTCCTTTACTTGCATCAAATTATGTTAAAATTAATAATATACTTAGTCTATTGTCGTCACCTCTACCACAACAAACACCACTAGTAGATAATAATAAGACAATGGCAACTGGTAAATTGATGCGATTTGCATCACATGAATCAATTACAAATGCAGCAACTAATAATGATCCTACTGCTTTAATAAATTCTTCAACAATATGTTGTCCAGCTCATGATCCAGCACAACCTTATATTACGTTGCCTGCTCGTTCAGCAATGAGTCCGCAACCTAATCAAATGTTACCATCTGAAAATCGTTCAAGACATAACAGTAGTACTGTTTTACTTAAAACGCCATCTACTTTTTCAAGACAAAGTACGGTATGTTAAATATATTATATATACATATATATATACACATATGTAAAATACATAAAACTTCATCGTGCAAGCATACGAGAAATGTAACAAATACTTTGAGTATCATTTTCTAGCGATTACATTATGTTTGTGTCTAGCATACAAATTTGTAAAGCATTCATAGGTTTCTTTTTTTTTTCTATTGATGTACACATACGAATAGAGACAAATGATCTCCTTTGTCAATTAGTCCTTTTGCTCACATATCCTGTTCCGTTTTAACATCGTTACGTAATTTGAAAGAAAAGCCTAATCAAACAGGTTATAGTTTTTTTCTTCCGTTCTATACAATAGGTCAATAGTTTGCCTGAATCAACGACTGGTGATGGTTCCAATTCAGATCAACCAACATCCAAATCATTATTGGCGTCAGCACAATCAAATCCCGTAGAAACCGAATTAGATACACCAACAAAGTTAATAATACAACATCCTTTTGCTTCATCGCCCCTTCTGTCATCATCGCCGATCATTAATGAAGACGACGCCCTCATTAATCGTATTTCATCTCTTTTAACAAGCCACTTGTTATCTCGCCAATTAACATCTACAACATCGATAACGCCTAATATTATTTATGAACACGAGACCAATTCAAATTTAAGCGATAGCGCTATTTCTCTTTCAACTGGTGGCACAACAGGAGGAATTAGTAGTGCTGTTACGTATAATCAATCGTCACCATCAATTGACGCCAACGACATTGATAAACTTTTACAACGTATTAAGACAGCTGTTGATAACAGATTGTCAATTGAAATTAGTAGTAATAATAGAATGCGTCAACCAAAATATATCCACCGAAATTTGTCATCAAGTCCTGTAAGAACAGCAACAATTAATCGTCGTCAACAACTACTTGCATTACATGCTGTATCATGTCAAGAAAGTCACACAGATGATTATGATGTAGAACATTCTACATCGTCTAATAAGAAACATAAATTGGATTTTTCATCCAAATCTCAATCCTTCGATGTGACCACCTTAAGTAAGCATTATAATAAAAGCTTGACATTTATTACGCTTGAGTTTATAATCTAATGCTAATAGAAATATGACTATGTACATTGCTTAAGTAAATATAGGCTTTCTGTTGACCATATACTTGTATATGCTAAGCTCAATAAGGGTGTTGGTTGTTGTTACTGCTTGGTTTAAATGGTCGGCTAATGATGCTAGAAAGAAAAAAACAATACGATACAATCATTTCATTTATTTCTATGCATCGTCTTTCTTTTAGTATAATCAACATCCAAGTGTGGATCGGAGTATAACTCAACAAGATCCTTGTCTATTGGTTTATTTTTATTCTAGCACATTAACTTCTTGTGTTTTTTTTTGTTTTATATATTTTAATATATTTTCATTTTTTTTTCGCTTGCATCTGTTCTCTTTCATTCATATGTTCTGTCATTTAATCGACGACAATAACCTTGACTTGTACTAGTATTTGATAGACATTGATAGCAGTAAGGGTTGCACCACATTGCTAATATGAATATATTTATCAATGTGGTAACATCGGTTCTCCTTCAATTCAATTCTGATAATAAATAAAGGCTCTATGAAAATAGAAAAAAAAAAGCCTCAATACTAATGTCTTCTTCCCATTTCTCTCTTTTTTTTTCTTTTTTGTATTTTAACTAAAGCACTTCATACATAGAGAGTAAGAATGAGAGAATAAGAAAGACGAAAGGTGTCAAAACACGTCGAATCTAATTGCACCATCACATAAAGTAAGACAACGTTCTATTAGTAATGTATGTATGAGTTCGATTTTGATCAATGGATTGAAAAATTTGGTTCATTGATTGCAATTTCACCTTATACCATTACACAATCATTTGTTTGACAACAATAGAGTAATGAAAAAGATGTACCTATACATAAATTCTGACACACATAATATGTTCGTCATCAACGTACCGATCAAAGGCTTCGTTTTATTTACGAACACGTTCATACATACATATAGATAATTAAGTTTGATCAAAATCGATGTCATTCGTACAGCAAAAGAGAAAAAAAGAATTCGTTTTTTTTTGTGTGTTTAATATCATTTCCTTATTGTTTCAAACAACCTTGTTTATCTGTCAGATAAACCATATTTAAATATCCATCATGTCATTATACAAATATGTTTATCAGAAAGAACAATGATAATCTTGTTGTTATTTCGAGTTCTGTTTTTTTTTCTCTTATTATGTTAGTGAGCACTTACATATGTGAGTTGTGCATTAGTCAATGCTTTATTACCCATGATGTATATATATATATATGAAATCTCAGGTAGTAAAAAAATCTATGTGCAAAACAAAGAAAAAAAGTAAGCATTATAACACGCACACATCAAGAGAAAATTGTATTACGCATTACTTTGTCATTGATCAACATTTTTCACTTAGAGTTGAAAAGAGAAATGAAGAAAAGAATAACGAAGAAAAAAAAATGACTAGTCATTATATCTGTTGTAGATAATCGTGATGTGACAACGACAACAACAACTATAGACACAAGTAATAACATTTACGAAATGGTAAGAAAAACGTTCGTTTCAATAAAAAAAAAAACTTTTCTTTTTTTTTTTTATGAAATCCTTTAGACGACTTTTCATTCTGATGATAAAGGTGTTCAAACTGACCCTCGTATTCGACATGCTCGTTCAGTAAAAACAATATTCTTTTAATTAATTAATTTATTAATTAATTAAAATGTTTTTGTTTTAGAAATTATTAGAAACCTTACAAGCATATGTAACGGCTGTTATTCGTTATCGTCAACATTTATTTAAACAATATACTCAATCAAATACACATTATGAACAACATTATAATACAATGCCTGAATTACAACAATATGAATATCGTGATTTAATTAATGTACGAAAAGAAATTCTTCATCGTTTCGAATGGGTTATTAATGAACTTGAACAAACAATTGATAATTTACAATCACGTCGATTATCAGTTGCTGATGCTCAACGATCTATTGATCGACCGTTAGTTAAAGAAGTATGTCAGTTACATTCTATTTATCATAGTAATATCAATTTAAAGTTTTTTTTTTTTTTATTAATATTTTTTGTCTGATTATTCGATAAAGCGTATCAAAAGAAAAATTTATTATTTATAAAAAGATAAGAGATGTTTTTTTTAAACATTGTTAGGTAATTGAATCATCTCTCAATGCCGATTTACCACCTGTTGATGAACATCAAACTAATATAAATGATCGACAACGACCTATGCCAAGTGAAGATGAATGGAAATTGTATGCACGTGATTTACAAGATACAAAAGAAGATTTATATTTTATTAATTCACTTGTTCATCGTGGGATTTCCAAGGTTTGTATTTTTCTTAAATAAAATATTTAAAAATAATTTGATCTTTCATAATTAGATCGATCGATTGGTAACATTTACAAATCTCTATACATAGCTCTTATATTGATCTGATTTAGTTATATATTTCTTGTGTTGATTACTATTTTGTACATTTATTCTTGTTAGTCAGTTTAGTTTTTACGCACGTACGGTGATATATTTTTGTTTCTAGTTGTGCCTACCTCAATCTGCTCTTGTTTTCTGTTTTTTTCTTGTTATGTGCGTTTTTTTGCCTATATCAACATTTTTAATTTGAAGAAAAACAAAGAAATTTTATCAACCATTAACAGACAAAAAAATTTCTTTTTCTCTTACTTAGTAAGATATCAGTTAGACATACCAACATGTATATTAACTGTACGCATGAGAATGAAAAGAAAATTAAAAAGAATACTAAAGTACTATCGAAGAATCCATTCATATTCGTAAAGACATTATTATGGGCACAGCAGAATCGAAAGGTAATCAACGACATAGAGCAAACAAACGTCATCGTTATAACAATGACTTATCTTTAGTTCATAAATGTCAACATAAGAAAAGACAATTGGAAGAAACATTAAATGTTGGCAGTAAAAGTTTATCAAAAGAAACCAATGAAACAATTGGTGGGTGATTATTGTTCTTGAAAATATTCAAGATATTATTTTTTTTTTTTGTTTTTTTATTTTTATGATTAGCACCACTTATAAGTTCATCACCATTAAATCCTCATTTACAAGGTTCAATATTACATCATTCATTTCCTATACAACGATCTCACTCAGAGATTCGAATAACTTCTTATGAACCATCAAATAATGAAATAACAGGGTACAGAATTTCTTTTCATGTCTTCATGAATATCTTTTCATTGTATTTTTGTTGAATACTAGAAGTCTTAATCAATTCGATCATATGTCTTATGATTATCAAAAAGATATGCAACGTGTTGATGAAGAAAATCGTCCTGTATTAGAAGGACTTTGTCCTGATAAGATGTATGTTTCAACAAATGACCTTCGAATATGTGACACTCAACGATTACCACCACCATTGCGTTGTAAAATGACTCAAGGCTTTTTTCGACCAATTCCTCCATCACAATTTTATCAAAAGAAAAGTACATTAAACTCATCATTTCTTTGATAAAAAACCTAATCAAATTTTATAATTCTTCTGGTTTCTTTTCTTTTTTTTTCTAAATAAAGCATCTATTTAAATAGTTAATTATTTTTTTATTTATTTAATTCTAATTTCATATTTTGATGTGTTACGAGTAACACATGCTATTCTTCTTCTGTTAAGTCGATAGCATCCCATGACTTATTAATATCTACTGCGCCTGTATTACAATGAAATGCATTAGAATTAAGCTGAGTACAACTTGTATCCACAGTAATTTATAACACAAAAGTACAAATGAACAGAAATTTATAATTAAATATTCTAATTATAATTGAAATACTTCAGAAAAAAATGCTTTCCCTATTCCTTGTTTTTGAAAATTTAATTGTACATAAAGATCTTCACGATGTAAACATTTTTCTTTTCATGTTGAATAAACATTAAGCATTGAACACATTCTAACTCTACACAATGATGAACTAGTTAAATCTTATTCAAAATTACTGAATAATATTGATTAAAAAAACATTTTATTTATTACATTGAGCCACTAAAGAACTACTTAGGCTGTACCAAAAGTTCTGATCACGTCGTTACTTAGCCATATAGTAAGCTTTAAAAATCTTTCTTTCTATATAAGCCTGATAGAGAAAAGAATGCTCTATTTTTCTATGCTATTTGATCATACTTCAACTAATATTATGATAATAAATTTTGGATAAGACTTTTTCCGTTATCGTCTGTGGTCTAGTAAGTTNTTTTGTAGAGAATTTAATCCTCTACAAAACCAATATGGATCGAAAATTTTAAATTTATATTTTCATAAGAAAAAAATTCAAATTCGAAAATCGATGAGTTATCAAAAGGGGAAAATTCTTTAAAATTCACTTTCATGAACAAGTTTTTTTTTGTATGAAAATTACATGGTTTTGTTCAAGTTTTGACGCTCTCTCCGAAGCGCTAGTTAGTGTTGAGATTATTTACATTCTTCATTTTGAAATGTCATTAGTCCGTTTGACTAACAAACACTAAATTTTAAAACTAAAGATTTATTGTGGATTAAAATTTTTTTTCAAAATATAGAACATAAAATTTTGCGTCGAATGATATATTCTTCAACTGTTTTGTAGGAAAATCATTCGGTCAAAAAATGCAAAATACTAAAAATGTCTTAAAATTTTGTCCATCACTTTAATTTTGTATAATAATATTGGTCATATGACAATATTTGCAGCATTTATTTTTATTCTATTTGACAACTAGTAATATTTTAAAGATAAAGGGTCAAAGATGACACTCGATGACATTTCGAACTAAAATAGCCAAACAGAAAAAAGCCAGCTTTTTGATAAACGAGAAGTCAATCAATTATTGATTCGTTCTTGACTCTTCAAATCTGTAATTAATGACAAATAAAACTCCACATTTCTTAGTAAACAAGATCTGAAATACTTAAGGACTGGATTAATAATTTTCTATCTTACAAGTATATTTGAATAAACAAGAAAAAAGAAGTTCCTGTCTTATTTTTCAACTATAAAAAATTTCAATATTATTCTTCGTCGCTATGTTATAAAGCAAATAATTACCTGTGAGTTTCCAGTTTTTTTTTACTAATTACTAAAACTTTCATAATATCATAATTGCGTTTGTATAGAATACTACATCAATCAATATGATAAACATGATTAAGGTTACTTCGATACAATAGATTATTTGTGCATAAAGTTCCTAATGCAATATTTGATTATCACCCAAAATTTTTCATTTTCAATTTGTATCGAGAGCAGGCTTCCCGATTATAGAGTGCTCTCTCCTCCTAAAATATCCGACTTGCTGCCAGTTTGCTACAGGTTCGTAAAAACTTTGAACTGAAAACCGAATTATAAAATACCATTTGCCTTTCTTTGACAGAAGGCGAAATAAAAATGAAACCGACAATGTCGTTGCGAAGTGATTAGAATTGAGGAAGTGATGATTCGGCGGCAGATCGTTTGTGTGGAAGGGATTGGATCATGATGGGTTTCGTTCTTCTCTGTCCTGGTCATCACTTTTAACACTCCAAGGATGAAAGCACTTTCTGCAGGAATTTTATTCTCTCCTACCCCTAAAAAACATCGATAACTTAAATCGAGAAATAGGTCTATCTCTTGACTATGGACTACTTCATTTACTTATGGACAAGAAGAAACTAACTATTATTTTATTTGCCTATCTTAGTGGTTTATCCAGCATAGATAAGAAGAAGAAGGAAGAATACCTCTGCTTATCCTACTACCTTGCGGCATAGAGGGTTGCCTAACGGAAGATTCAATAACCTGATATCTTTCATAGAACTCATACTAGCTGTAATTCTGGGTAGAAAGTCAGTTTGACACAGAGTTTTTGCGTTCAATTGCTTAAGGCACCCATCCACACCAACTAACCACAAGAGCAGGTGTATGTCATAACGTAGTCGGCATGCTATCAAATGGCTGATCCGAGAAAAACAGGCGTTCATCGCTTATCTAGGGTTATTCCATGGCTAGTGGTACTGAGATTTGAAAAATATACCTTGTGAATACGTGCCAAATAACGCAGCCATTCGACCATAGTTGTTTCTAGCGTGATGACCATCTCTGCGGAGATCGGAATGGCCCTCCAGAAGTTTGTAATTCTCGTATCATGTACTATGTGCCTGTACTCCCAAAAATCGGCGTTTGCCCTCCTGGAGTTGTTACTCGTACCTCCGGCAGAGAAAATCTGGATAAAACACTGGTCTATCTATCAAATTATTGTAATAAATTATGTAAACGAATATTATTCATGCAAATTGAAATGTACAAGAGTAATCTATGTAATATGACACAAATTATTCCTATATTGTCAATTAAATCATAAGCATGAATGGCCTTTTTTTTTTTCAAAAAAGAAATAAGAATATAATTATAACTGGCAGTCAAACTTATGCTATTTTCAATGAGCTCATCCAAAATCTCAATCAAATAAATTCCATAAAAATGAATGAATGAAAGAAAATATTTTGGCATGATATCAGGTTTTCAGCAAAGGTGAGATTATATAAAATGAATGTTGATATTTAATGCAAAGAACGAAAGGAAACAGATCAAACAACTGTGCATAAGTTGCTTTCTTTTAACTCTCGAATGTTCTCAAAATGCATTTTGCTTTTTTCGGATTATTACAATGCACATGGATTCTTTTTTTTTTGTTTTATTTTAGTTCGTTCTATAAGAATCAATGATAAATTGCGCATAAAAAATAACTTTCGGCATTTTTATTTCGTATTGCTATTTATTATTTTGCAATATCCTTAGCATTTATTGACTATAAAAGAAAAATCTTTTATGTTGTTAGGTATCTGTTACAAATACCGTGTGGAAATAAAAGAGAAATCTATAAATACATTCGTTGCTTCTCTCTAAAACATAAACGATAATCGATGAGTATCCGTCATGTTAAAAAATAATTAATAAGTGTTCTTCATTTCATACGTCACAACTTATAAAGCGAGAGAGAGAAGGTGAGCAAACATAACATTAAGAGAAAAGAAAAAAAAACCTAATGTCTAGGTTGCAAATGGTAAAGAAGAGAATTTTCGATCCTTTCACTGCATGCATGCAACAGAGCCAAAGAAAGACAGCGTATATGTAGAAGTAACACAGATTGATGTGTGAGTACGAAATAAAAAAAGAAACGAAAGAAATACGAGAGTTTTGCCTATGTTGACTCGACTATGCATCATTATTCTTTAGTAGTGTTTATATACAGGATGTCCCAAAAGTCACACTACACTTAGTGCTGTCCTATAGCACTAAGTGTAGTGTGACTTTTGGGACACCCTGTATAAACTCACGGATATAATAAAATAAGCATTCATTTTATAGATAAATCATGGTTTTCAGTAAAAAACAGCAAATTCGTGGTATAAGAATTTTATTAACTGTTTTCTATGGATTTCTTCTATCAAGTATATTATTTCGTTACATTATTCATGGAATTGTTGAAATAGCTCGACAACCAACAAATCCATATGCTATTACAATGGTTGTTCTCGGCAGTCTTATTCTTATTTCAATTGCTTTAGCAATTTATGCTACATGGTATAGAATCGAGTTTTTCCACTATAAGATTTCGCTTTGTTTTCATTTAAGTTTTCTAAATTTAGGTTTGACAATACGATAATAATGTTAGTATCCGGTATTGTGCTCATATGTGTATTTATTTTAACACTTGTTTTTGGTATTATTCGTATTATTAACACGGCACATCTTCGTGTAGTTACTGCAACAGCTGCTTCAAATGTTGTGCATGATGGCGATGGGTCATTGGATGCAGTTCGAGTAGATTTAGTAACTAAGGCTGAAAAGACAACGGATAATTATGCTCTTATTGAAGATATTACGAAATTGATCATTGAATTGATAGCGATTCTTTTTGCTATTCTTGCTACATTTATTTTATATCGTTATGTTAAAGCAAAATATGCTGAAGTACCAACAAATGAATCAAAAACAACATCATAACAAACAGAATTATTTTTTTCACAATTGACATTTTTTTTCTGTGGATGTACAGATGTTTTTCTTTTTTTAAGGATTTTAGAGACGAAATCATTAGCTTTTTTTCTATTTCAATAAATTTTGAAAATAATCTATTGATTTTTGAATATAAAAAAAACTTTCTCAATATCATATAAAATGAAGCTGTCTTAATGATAATGATGTTCAGAGTGTAATAATAAATATAAATATTATCAATAGAATATGTTATTTCTTGAATCCTAATAAGAATTTTTATAAGAAATGTGTGCGAATATAAAAATAAAAAGACATACGCATTTAATAAGTATGTTTGATGTGACTCATCCACTTATGTTACTAAGTATAAATTGTATAAAATATTTAAGACAATAGAATATAAACTATACGAACTTTAATAATCACAATAGAGTTGAAAAAGAATATAGTTTGAGTAAAGATTCAAATGATTTTCATTTTCTTTTATCTTCTTAGAAGACAATGCATTAATTATTAAAGCATTTCAATTTATTTTAATATGATAATTATTTTAATAAGATGATTTATTTCATCAAGTGCTGGAATAATTTTTATCTTGGCAAGGATATGATTACGAAGTGTTTGTTCAGCCTTCATGATGGATTATACTTTTTTTTTTCAATAGTATGAATAACTTCAAAATTGAGATTCTATTTCATTTAATACGCGTTTATAATTACTTGTTCTTTGGATTACCTTCACTTTTTTCATGGATTGTAAAATATCATAAATGAAATGAAAATGTATCGAGATCTTTGTAGTGTCTTAAGAATCAGTTTACATAAGCCATGATCGACTTCCACAGAAACTGCTGAATCGAAATAGTCAGGTTTTGTTCAATTTAAGATGTGCTGTACAACGAAGAGTTTCGACATAAGCCCTTTGAAAAAATATTGTTTCATTTTCGAGATATTTTAATATATTATACTCTTTTTCAATAGTATGAATAACTTCAAAAATGAGATTCCATATGATTTAGTACGAGTTTGTACTTGTTCTTTAGATTACCTTCATTCTTTTTCATACATTGTAAAATATCATAAATGAACTGAAAATGTATAGAGGTTTCTCTAGTGTCTTAAAGTCTTCACCCTTCAAAATCTGTTTTTGTGCCGGATACATTCAAATCGTGTGAAATTTCCAGCACATGTGAGGACGGTAGTGGAGAGTCTATGGTAAAATTTTCAGTCTGATATCATGACTTTTTTTGGCAGATATTCAACAAAACAAGAGTCAAAACTAAGTCGCTTGGCAACTCAAAAATCTCTGCGAATCTTCATTCTATATACTAAGGTTCTTTGTTTGTTTGACGGAGCATGTCAAGATGCGATGCATGACTAAGCCTTTATTTTAAATTCTGACTTTTTATGGAGAGAAAAGTTGAATGTCTCAAGAAAGCTCTCAAAAAATGACGTTCTAAAAGCAAAAATAATCTTTAATATAATAGCAAAAAAAGCTTAATTCAAAAATGTTACTCTGTGATGCTCTGCATTTTGACATGCTCTTTCAAACAAAAAAGAAGACAATTGACTACAATGAAGCTCCTTCGAGAAGTCTGGCATGAGCGGTTAAAAGGGAATAAATAGAAAAAAAAGCGAAAAAATATTATTCAAGCAATTGACGATAGAAATCATTAAAAGTTTTTCTCAAAAAAAGGAGATGCTGAACGAAAAAATCAGATGATTTATAAAAGATCAGATCTCGGACTATTCTCTCATGCATCTATCTTAATTTCGATATTTCTGATGAAAGTTGACTGTTTTTTTAGGGGAGCTTAAAAAACTTCACAAGACTACATAGTCTATTAAACGGTTTTTGATTTATGATAGTTAAATAAGATGGATTGAATTATTTAATAAGAAAAGATAGATATCCCATGAAAATTCACTTTAATTATCTATTCTACCTGTGTTATTATATTGAATAGTTGCTACTAGCTTTCTATGTATTACATTTCGCTATGAATAACAGTTATCATATGGATTCAATAAAACATAATGTAAAATACATTAGATAATAAACCAGATGCAACAATTTTATGATGTAAACATGTAAATAGTTTGATTCAATTACATGTCTTCTTAAACTTTAATCATTTGTATTGAAATCTATTAACTCGTCACGAAAAATTTATAATTATTACTTATTGTACATATATAACAAGGCAAATTACGACTTCGATTTAGATAATTTTTGATTAATTTTCTTAGATGTTTCCTTTTTTTTTTCGAGAATTCATCAGAAAAATAGAACGAACTGAGACACTGTTCACCCACATGCTCATCAAAAAGCAAATCGAGTTTTCACTTACTGAAAAAAACAAGAATTAGAACAACATTGAAGAATATAGACTCAGTCAACTGGTTAGCTTCTAATTCAGAATTCGACAAATCCTTGAACTCTATCTAGGTTTGGAAGACGATTAACACATAAAAATTGAGCATTTCAACTCATGTTCATAATTCGTCTTTCATTATTTAAAATGTTTTTTTTATTTACTTAATCTTTTTTTTAATCATAAGAGAATCACTGAAGTCCAATGTGATTTTCATATATTACAATATCGAAATGATAGAGTTTTGTTTCATTGACATGACAAAAAACATCAGACCTATCATATTATTTTTAATGAAACACCGGTACTCATAGAAACTCAAGAACATTCGTATGCTGTCCAAGGCGGCAAACCAGCTTCCATTTTAACTATTCTCTAAAAAATTAGCATCTGGATTTTCTTACATTTCTTCTTTTCATGATTCATTTATTTTCAAGCTAAACAAATTTATTTATGTTTAGACGTATATATATGTATATATCAATAAACAACGGCTGTAATACACACAGTTAAACGAAAAGAAAAAAAAAAACGAAGAATAAAGAACTAAGTAAAAATAACAAAGACGGCCGTAGTTTGTCTATCGTGAACGAACGATACCGGAAAAAAAACAAACAAAAGTTGAACAAAGAAAAACTGAACGAAAAAAAAAGAAAAAGAAAAACTAATCTGTCAATATTTTCTTGTTGTTTTTTTTTCATAATCTGTAATCTATCTACACTTAAATGTATATGTATATATATATATAAAACAAAAAACTAAACGGATGAACAAATAGTTACACAGACATTTTTTTTTCTTCTGGTTTTTTTTTAATATAATAAACAAAATAAAGAAACAAAATTTAATGATACATATAATGTGCAAACAATGACTCTTTTTTTTTAAATAAAAAAAGAAATGAATTTATTATTAATCATATTTGTTGTTGAATCATTCTCTTTAAATCTAGATAAAAGAAAAGTAAAATAATAAATTTTAATTTTATGAAAAAATAATAAAAATCATTACGGGCAAATTGAACAGAACATGCATGTAAACTATCACGTGCTAAATCAAGTTGTTTTTGTAATAAAATAGATGTTGTTTGTAAATGTTGATTAAGAAAATTCATTTCATTACCCATCATTTGTAATACTTTTGAAAGCTAAAAAATTAATAAGACGAATAATATTTTTTTTTCATCTATTAGGTTAATGCTGAAGATTTTATTTAGCTTTCATGATTTTTCATTTTTAGAAATTGACATAAAGACTATAAATGTTATTGAAGCATGCCATATAGAACCGTTATGTCGGCTTTAAATTACTTTTTCTTTTTATAAAAACAATGCTATCATACTGGGGAAGATCGAGTTTTGTTTCCAAAGGAAAAGTCAAAAAGAAGAATTTTACACACTTACATCATCTGAACTTTCATCGATACTTTGTATATTAACAGTTTGCGGAGGTTGTTGCTGAGGAAAAATACCCGATGCTGCTGTTTTTATAATAGTTTGCGGTTGTTGTTGCTGTGGTTTATTTCGATTTTTTTTATTTGATTTATTAGATGATGAATGTATTGTTTGTGGTAATTTAGTTGTATCAAGAATTCCTATTCGAGTTTTTTTATTTGGTGATAAAGGTCCATTAGATGTATGTTCTAAATGATCATCTAAAGTTCGTTGACGTTTATTTGATGATGAATATTGTGCAATAGAATTTGTCATTTGTTGATTAAGTAAAATATTTTCTGGTATTGTAACAGAAAATTGTTGATTCGATAATATATTTGGATCAGGTTCATGTTTAAAAAGTAAATTTTCTATTTCATTTGTATTTGTATGTGATGTTGGTAAACCATTATCAACAATTGTTGATGTTGGTTGTACTTTTAAAATAGTTGTAGTGGATGATGATGATGATGAATTATTTGCTGATTCAGTCATACGACGTTTTTCAAGGCGTGCCATACGTAATAATGGTTTTCGATCAACTGGTGATGCTATTCGATGAGTTTTACGTAAATGATCACTTAGATTAACAACCCATGTTTCACAATTCGGACATCTAAGACAAAAAGAAATCCATTAGATTGCTTTTTTTTTTCTTTACAATTCGTTTTTACCGTAAACGAGTTTCATAATCGTTTGTATGTGTTTGATGATTAACATTTATAGTTCGATCATCAATTGGTGATGATCGTTGTTGTTGATTTGATGATGAATTTAATTGAGATTGAGATGATGTTGGAAGTGATTGTTGTTGTAAGCTTGATTGATCATCAATTTGATTATTTGGATGAAATGTAAATGTTGTTGGTAATGATGTTGCTAATGGCACATCAGGCATAAGTGATTGAGAAAAATGAACCATTATTGGTTGTTTTTTTTTTCGGTTATTCCTATTGCTAATAATTCATAACTATCTGAATTGAGATAAGATGCAAAACAAAACATAATAAAAAACTACTGTATACAACGATAAATTCCATCAGACTCATTACATCAGATGTGAATCATTACAAAAATATGTTCAATATTTTATAAAAATAAAATTTCCATCATCGGAATATCGTTGTAAATGTAAAACAAAACGATTTAATATTTTATTAATAATAAAAGATGTGTTTTTTTATTTTTATCAATATTTAAAAAAAGCTAAATTTTCTTTTTCCTTGAATAAATAAATAAAAAATGTACAGAAATATGTCTAACGAATAGCAATAACATCGTTCGGTAAGTCATTACCACTCAACGACAAACAACAGCTATAAAATTTTTATTGCAGCCATTAATGTATACTTATTTTCAGTATAGAGTAAGCATTTGACTGTTTTTTCTGTATAATTCGTTTTGATGCTTAATGAAAAAAAAAAATTTTTTTTTTAGTATCATAACAGAATTAGAAGAAAATATGGAACCATATATTCAATTTCATATCGATATAGGTGTCGCTATCTGATTAACATTTGACAAAGAAGTTGCAAGTCCTGTCAGAGTTGTGGGCCTGAGTCTATAAAAACGTAAACACTCAAGCTTCTTACATCTGACCTTTTTCATGAAATATTGTTCGTATTTGAATAGCTAAGAAGAATTATCTTGCATTGATACAAATTAATATAATCACAATCTTTTTTTTTTTAATTTATCAGAGAATAGAATCTACGTCTAGAATGAATAGCTTTACGGAAAGTAATATAAAGACAAGCAGCAGAAAAAAAAACAGTTTCTACTTCGATCAGAAATTCATAGGAAATTAATATGTTTTTTAATGAGAAAGAAAATCATGTTAATAAGTGAAAACAGACTTCGTGTACATATTATTTCTTTGAGTATAGGTTCTCTTTTCTTTTTTTTAGTTCTTTTCATTTCTTTTAATATCTTGAGTTTTACTCTACTCACATTTAGAACGTAAGAAAAATCAATTCAATCAATGTGATTTAAATGAAAGACAAATTATGTAATTTCAAAAATGCATATTTTTATTAAGTATTTTGAGAGAAAATTTTATTTTCTTTTATATTGATTGATAGTTATTATCTTAAACATTATTCAAGATTGACGTTTTGAATTCTGATTTGATAATTGCCAGAATCGACATGTGGTATTCTTTGAAATAATTTTAATGTTAAAGTAACGGGCACAACAAGAACATAAAGAAGATGTGACCCGTTCTCCTCACTCGTCAATGTAGTGGTGCGCAATTGATGTACAGCATCTTGATGACGAATAATATCAACTAAGTAAACATTTTATAAATCCAAGGTCCATTGCATTTGACACTTGATCAATTTGTTAATTATCTAGAAAATTACAAGCAATGACACTCTAACAATTGATCTTCTGAATCACATTAGTCTTTAATTCATCAGGAATGTTTTCAGATCGAATTAGATGAAAAATTTTTCTTTAAAAGCGTTCTCAGATCATCCATTCAGAAGATTTCAACTATGACATTCATTCAGCTGAGTTAAAGAGACTCAGCTGTACATAATCCTTAATCCAAACAGTCTATACATAAAATTAGTGATAGCTAAACATCAGTAAGGTGTCCACACTGAATATATCGTATGACTCAAAAGCTCAATGCACATTAAAATAATTGAACAAATCGATAGTTAAAATAGTACAGAATTCGATAGAAAAGTATATGTTAAGTAAAATATATTCGTTGGATATGTTCTATCAATGAGTGTTTGAAAGAATCCATATTAAAGATTTTAATTGTTGCTTCAACTACTGTAAAGATAATATAGCATTAGAAGTTTCTTCTCCTTACAAGAATTTTCTATTTCAACGTATTTTCTAGTTACTTGATTTTTCATAAAATTTCTCTTCTATGGAATCAATCTGATGCGTGTAATTATCACTATTATTAGTTTAATTTACGAAAACAAACTGTTATTATACTCAATATAATAACTAAAGTTAAATCTTATAAAATCTCATTTGTATATGAGCAGCAGTGTTAGCAGATTGCCTTGTCTACCATTCATCGTGGCACAACGGACAATGCAATTGATTGGGTTAATGAGCAGTTGATGGAATAGTGCTATCAACAACAGACACTGTTTATTTGTTGTTACTGATGAAGAAGTATAGCAACAGATTTCGACGTATGAAAATAACATTAAACGCATATGAGGCCGCATAAAATCAACAGTATATTCTTCTATGACCTTATTTTATTTGTCAACATCTACGCAATTTGATATTAATCTATCTGATACATTCTATTCTATGTGTTGCAACGAATTAAGCCCCAGAGATTATTATACCGAATGTATTCTGAACACAAATAAAAAACTGTTGCCGATGTCAACATTTATTGAATACATTCACGTTCTGTAATATGGAGAGAATTTTGTTCGATTGATGATGACAGGCGTGTTTCCCCTTATGGTTATGTGAAAAATGACTATCTGCTGTGACAAATTATATGTTTCTGACATGGACATGCTTTATCTAATTTCATTTGATTGAATAACCTTTCAAATAGATTTATTTGATTTTCTGCTATGCCGAGAGATTCTCATAATGATAAAACAGACAAGTAATCAGAATGCATGTGATATTTCTAGCTCGAAAATCACTATCATTTTCTTACAGAAAAGAAGAATTAATTCATTTAGTTCATATAAAAGAGCAAAATTTCTAATCAACTGTTGATAAGAATGTTACTAAATGGAATTCATTTATATTTCTTCAAATAGGGTCAGATTTTGCGCAAAAAGCATCACATGAGAACTCATATAAATCAAATTTTACGTGAATTTTCTGTTAAGGAAAGTTCTTTTTTTATTGTTAGAGATGCATAAAACTAAATAGACTTGTATGATACAATATTTTATATCAACTTTCATTTGATTCGTTTCATCAGTAGTAAAGATGCTGTTTTTTTTTTAATTTTTCTACTAAAGAGAAAGATGAACAATTATGAATTCAAAATCTCGATGATGATGTTTTCGTCGAGAAATTTGATTGTTCTTCTATGACGTTAATAATTGTTGTCGGATTGTATAACTAATTTGAAAGCTGATTCATTGCAATTGCTACACTGTTTTTCTTTTCATTTATTAATTACAGAGGTTGAAACAGTAGTATACAGCTTTGAAATTTTAAATTTCATCTTACAATTTATTTCTTATCAAGCCTCGAAAGTGGGTCACTGTTAATGATCCAAATCACTTCTACTCTGTTATGATCGAGTCTGGTCCAGCTCGCTGCAGTACTATTAAAAATATATTTTTTTATATAAAAAGAATTTTCACAGAATGGAGCTTCACAATTACTGCAGTCGTTTTGTTTTTAACATTGTAAAAAGTTTATTATCATAGTGACCATGAGTTAAATAACGTCAGATAATTTTAATGCATGAAAAATATGTCAAATTACGATATCGTATCAAAAGACAAAGATATGCTCGTGGGTACTCGAATGTCTTGAAGACTATCATTTATCAACATAAGCTTTTACGAGTAAAATGCCCACTGGTCAATTTTGAAGAGTCAGATCGGTTACTATTTTTGTTTGTATTGTTAATGTTAGTGTACATTTAATCCTATTCAACTTCAGTAACAGTCATATCACTTAATATAATTGATAGTGCTCTCAGCCTTGTGTGTATGTATGTGTGTATGAGGAATACCATTGAATCGAATAAATGCTCTGTTTTTATTTATAGGCTATATAAAAAATCGAAAACTTTTCTATGAACAAGGTTTCTGATAGTTAGCAGTTGCGACATGCAAGATGCATGTAATTCGTTTTGACGAAAAATCAGATTTTTTCTGTTTTCTTACGTGGAAATTGTCATTGAAAAAAGAAACAAAGTTCGGTTTAGGCAACCTATTTTGACATCTCATTCTTATCATTTTCATCAATTTACATTGATTTAACAATCTATATTTCATTATGACTTGAGTATTAGTTTATAAAACTTCCTTTCGGACAATTGATTTGTTTCGTATTTTTTTATTTACACACAAATATATTGGAAAAAGTCCAATAATTCCTTATTTTGTTTTTTATATAAGTATAGGGAAGGAAAAAGGATTAATTTAAAGGGGATGAGAAAAACAGGAAAAAAGATGTGACGAAAAAATGTACAAAAAAAACGAAAAATCATTAGAAATAAACTATGACACATAAAGATCTCATTTAATTGAAATAGAATCCTCGTTCTTTACATGCTGTCATGAGACGAACTTTGAGGATTTCTTGGCTTGAATAATCCGGTAATTTGAGATAATGGTAACATGTATTGACTGATGGATATGAATTATCATCGGCTTCAACTTTACGTGCTACAGCTAGACGAGGTCGAAGATTAGCAAGACCTAAACAAAACATTCTTATATAAAGAATTTTTCAAGCTAAAAATACAAACCTCCAGGTGGTAATGACGAACAGCCAGTAATAAATTGAACAACAGATTTTCTTTCAAGACCATCGAGTTCCAACATAACATTAAGGAATTTTGTAAAACCAGCACTGAAAAAGAAAACAAATAAAAAAATTTCAAGAAAAGAAAATTTTTATGTAATCTAATAAACCTTTCTCGTGTAAAGCCATGACTAGGTTCAATATAATTAAGTAAATCATCTAATGTCCACGATGGCCATTGATTTCCACATAAAAGAAGTTTCAACTCATGTGGATTAAAACATCTTAAATGTTCAATTGAAAATACTTGATTAAATCCATCTAAAAAAAAAGACACGAAGTAATTTATTAAACAAATGATTGAAAATTTTCTTACTTCGAAAAGCATCCATTTGACGTCGGATACCATCACAGAAAATAAAGTCTAAAGATAATTTAACATATTGATCAACATTATCAATGGTAACATCCTAAAGAAATAAAAAACAA